AAGATCTAATTCATTAAAGTCCATAGTTATGGCAAAGTCTAAAAGCACTAACCTTGCCTTTTGGCCTCTGTGGTTCTGCTTCTGGCTAGCTATTCTTGTTAACTGAGATTAACACAGGCTATGGCTTTGTCTTTGAAAGCTCACCCTGAGAAAAGCTAGGGAGTACAGTGAGATCCGGAACACCCAGTGTAGTCACCAGCTGGCTGCCATTGCCTCCTACAATAAAGACTCCCTATTGGCTTAAACCTGTGTCTGAGCAGCCTTCTCTTGTGGATACCCACAAGTTTATGCGTTTGTGAAAGGGTCTTGCTATGTAACTGAAGCTGTCCTCAAACTTGACATCCTCCTGCCTCAGTCCCAGAGATCCTGGGATTACAGGTAACCATGTGTCACCACACTAGACCTTCCTTCCTTCCTTCATTTTTTCTGATTTTCTTTTTTTTTAGGGGGAGGGGCCAGTTTTGAGACAGGGTTTCTCTGTGGCTTTGGAGGCTGTCCTGGAACTAGCTCTTGTAGACCAGGCTGGTCTTGATTGGTTTTTTGTTTGTTGTTTGTTTTTTTCGAGACAGGGTTTCTCTGTATTGTTTTGGAGGCTGTCCTGGAACTCACTCGGTAGACCAGGCTGGCCTCAAACTCACAGAGATCCGCCTGCCTCTGCCTCCTGAGTGCTGGGTATTTTGGTTTTTTGTTTTGTTTTGTTTTTAAGATTTATTATGCCTGCCCGCCAGAAGAAGGCACCAGATCTCATTACAGATGGTTGTGAGCCACCATGTGGTTGTTGGGAATTGAACTCAGGACCTCTGGAAGAGCAGCCAGTGCTCTTAACCTCTGAGCCGTCAAATCATCAATCCACCCTCCCACCCCCCACTCCCCACCCCCAGTGCTGGGATTAAAGGCGCGCCACCACCACCGGTCGACCTTCCTTTTAAAAAAAAAAAATCAGCCGGCGTTGGTGGCACACGCCTTTAATCCCAGCACTCGGGAGGCAGAGGCAGGCGGATCTCTGTGAGTTCGAGGCCAGCCTGGTCTACAAGAGCTAGTTCCAGGACAGCCTCCAAAGCCACAGAGAAACCCTGTCTCGAAAAACAAAAAAATAAATAAATAAAAATAAAAAAATAAAAAAAAATCAAAATCAACTTTTGCCCTTCTGTGTAAATATTTTCCTTAATCACTCTCCATCTTACTTTTTCAGACTGGATTTCTCACTGATAGAGGAGCCAGAATGAGAGACCAGCAAGTCCCAGGGATTCGTCTCTATATGCCTCCCCAATGCTTGGATTACAGGCACACAAGACTGAGGAAACTTTTACCATGAATCCTGCGGGTCGATCTCCCTTGGTCCCATTTTTTGTTTTATTTGAGGTGCTGGGCTTGAGTCGTCGAACTACACTGCCCTACTTCCCTTTCTAAAAATAGTTCTTAATGCAAGTGAGCAAATGTGTGTGGGACAGGCGTAGTTTCTGGAGACTCAATGGCGCGCAGACCCTGTCGGATTTCGATCTGGATTCTGTTCCCGTAGGCTCTTCTTTAGACGCTTAGGTCCCAGGCATCGAAACGGCCCCAGCGCCCTCTACCGGTGGACTCTCCGACCCGCAGTCTCAGCTTTCTCAAGGATGAAAGCTCACAATGCCGTCCTCATCTCGAGGAGTGAGTGCATAGGTCAGCGCGAGATGAGCAAACCGGAAATTACAGTGGGCAGCCGGACTGAAAATGTGGGGACACTGGCCTAACCAGGACTGCCCAGGGAGAACGCACGCCAGAACCCGCAGGAAGAGCGAGTGGGCGGGGCCTGGCGGACGGGAGAGGCGGGGCCTCCGGGTTACAGCCAGCCCGGGCGCATCTGTGGGTCGTGGGCGGGGCGGAGGAACGTCCTAGCTTGCGTCTAGGATTTCCGGGGTAGGTGTTCTGCAGAAGGTAAAGCTCTTCCCCTGAAACGGGTTAGCGCTCTGGGCTATGGTGCTTCGGCCCCTCTAAACATGTATTTCTGTGCAGTCGATGTATCGCGGGGTCACCTGCGCATTTCTGAAGGTGTTTGATAGTCTTTGAAGATTTTAGTAATTTTTCTTTTTCTTTTTTTTTTCCCCGAGACAGGCTTTCTCTGTAGTTCTTGCTGTCCTGGAACTCTTGCTGTGCTTCCCCAGACTGTTCGAGAACTCACAAGAAATCCTGTTTTTGCCTCGGTAGTTCTGGAATTAAAGGCGTGTGCCACCATCGCCTGACTATCTTTTGTTTTGTTTTTGTTTTTTGTCGATGCATGATACATATTCTTCAACCAGGTATGCTCAGACTCCATTTTGTCTATTCTAGGTGACCTCAGGGGGGATCCATATCTCTGGTTACCTTGTCTCTCAATATGCTGCAATGGCCTCTTTCGTTGGTGGAGAACTTTTATCCAGGGTACAGTGTGTTGTCTATTCTAGGATCCCTTTGGCTCATGTGTGAGTTTATAGTTATATCTGGTTTGAAACTAGTATTAAATACATTTCCCTTCACCTTGAGGCTTCAAATACCTGGGCGTACTATCCAGAGACAAACCCAGAATAAATTGCATTCTTCATATTGACAATAGAACAATCCAGATTCCGGAATTCCTAAAGCCTGCTTTTTACACGATCATTCCACTCTCTCCAGCTCTCACTTTTATTTTTTTTTAAAGATTTATTTATTTATTACATATACGGCATTCTGCCTACATACCAGAAGAGGGCACCAGATTGAATTGTAGATGGTTGTGAGCCACCATGTGGTTGCTGGGAACTCAGGACCCCTGGAAGAGCAGTCAGTGCTCTTTTTTTTTTTTTTTTTTTTTTTTTTTTTTGGTTTTTCGAGACAGGGTTTCTCTGTGGCTTTGGAGGCTGTCCTGGAACTCACTTGGTAGTCCAGGCTGGTCTCGAACTCACAGAGATCCGCCTGCCTCTGCCTCCCGAGTGCTGGGATTAAAGGCGTGAGCCACCAACGCCCGGCATAAATAAATCTTTTTAAAAAATGTGTGTGATATGTGTGTAAGTGCAGGTGGACAGTGCAGCATAGAGGAGTTTGTTCTCTTTTTCCACTTTTATATATTTTCTAGGAATCAAACTCAAATCACCAGACTTTCACAACAAAGCCATCTCACTGACCCAAATGTTCTGATTTTTAAAAATTCAAATGTAGCTGGGCTATGGTGGTGCATATCTTTAATCCCAGCACTCAGGAGGCAGAAACCTGTGAGTTAGAGGCCAGCCTGGTCTACAAATGGAGTTCCAGAAGAGCCACAGAGAAACCCTGTCTCAAAAAACAAAACAAATAAATAAATAAATTCAAATTTAGAGCTAAGTATATGGCTCATTTGTACAGTGTTTACCTCCATAGGTAAGACCCTGAGTTTCATCTTTAATAATACACACACCCTAAGAGAATTCTGGTCATCTTTAATTCTGCAGTTAACTTTTTATTTTATTCATTTTGTAAATAGCTGGAGTGTAAAACTTACATACGCTTGGCAATGCTCTCCCATTAATCTATTCCAAAGCCTTTTCATTTTCACGTATTTTATTTTAGGTTTTTCGAGACAGGGTTTTTCTGTGGCTTTGGAAGCTGTCCTGGAACTAGCCCTTGTAGACCAGGCTGGTCTCTAACTTACAGAGATGCCTGCCTCTGCCTCTGCCTCTGCCTCTGCCTCTGCCTCTGCCTCTGCCTCTGCCTCTGCCTCTGCCTCTGCCTCTGCCTCTGCCTCTGCCTCTGCCTCTGCCTCTGCCTCTGCCTCTGCCTCTGCCTCTGCCTCTGCCTCTGCCTCTGCCTCTGCCTCTGCCTCTGCCTCCCGAGTGCTGGGATTAAAGGCATGTTTCACCACCACCCAGTGCCATGCCATTTTGTTTTTAAATAATTTACTTTGAGACAGGTTTCACTAAGTTGTCCAAGCAGACCTTGAACTTGTGACCCTCCTGACTCAGTCTCTTGAGTAATCAGAATTACAGCCCATTGACATCCAAGTTAAGCCCAGTGAGCCCACATAGCACACTGGTGAACTTGTGCAGGGGACCAGGAGAACGTTTATCCAGGGTACAGTGTGTTGTCTATTCTAGGATCTTTTTGTTGTTCTTCATTTTTTAAAAGATTTATTTATTTTTATTATGTATACAGTGACTTGAGTGCATGTATACCCACAGGACAGAAAGGGGCACCAGATCTCATTACAGATATATCTGAGTTCAAGGTCAGCATGGTCAACATAGTGAGTTCTAAGACAGTCAGAGATATATAGCAAGAGCCTTTCTCAGCAAACCAAAAATATATATTTTATTAGTTATCTGTGGATTTTGTACAATGTAGTTCAATCATTCCCCCCACCCCACAAATGCACTCTGGGACAGTCTCTGTACCCCTGTATTACCGAGTCTGAGTGGCCTTGAAAAATCCAATTTCTCTCTCATCTTGCAGCCACATAGGGCATCAAGGTGGGTTACAGAGGGACGAATCCTATTTCTTAAGTGTATTCAGGGATCCAGAACTCTGTGCCAGTCTGGGAGGACCCAGCCTTAAATGAATCCAGAGGCCCCGTTGACAGAACATGCCCTCCTGATTTGTGGTGTGCGGGGAGAGAATGACCCTGCCCTTTCCCTCAGTACAATGCCACTCTTTTAAGGGCGACCGCAGACCTTAAATCAAACACTTAAGGTTGTCTAAAAAAAAAAAAAGCACCTTCTGTTTTTTTGTTTGTTTTTTCGAGACACGGTTTTCGTATGTAACCCTGACCTGGAACTCACTCTGTAGATCAAGCTGGTCTCGAACTCAGAGATCCGCTCGCCTCTGTCCCCTGAGTTCTGGGATTAAAGCGAGCGTCCTGTTTCAGTGTTCATAGACACTGCTGGGTAGAGTAATTATTTTGAAGCAGCGCTATGAATGTCACCCTCTCTCCCAAGACAAGGCAGGTGCAGCCCAGGCAGGGGACCCCCTGAACCGGAACCCTCGAAGCTGGGAACCCTATAAAGCTACAGCTGAGTGGGGAATGGGATGTGGAAGGCACTTCCTGTTGTCCCTAATCCCAGCCTCCGCCGGACTTCCCGGCCCGTGCAGTCTGGCTGCTGATACTCACTTCATCCCCGGCAGGGGGGCTCCACGGCACCCCAGGTTCCTCCTTTGCCTCTACCTAGGCGAAAAAGCGATGGTTGGGAGAGCATCGGGAAATCAGCTTGTGCAGTCAGCTTGCAGAAGGGGACAGGGTCAAAGGTGGAAGGCTTCAGGCTGGCAGGAGAGAATGAGGGGGCTGAACCCAGGATGGGGAAGATGAGGACATCTCCCACCGGACCATGACCAGGATGGAAATACCCAGTGGGGAACCTGCAGCTGTGCGAGACCTGTCGAGAGTGGACAGCTGATCGAGGACTCCAGGCCAAGCTGTGTTCTGCTGGGACACACGGCAGGCATCACCCCACTGGCACCTCTTTTGAAGGCTCTTCGTAGAGCTTTCTGTGCCTCATGGCAAGAAACCCTGATTCCAATTTAGTCCTCACTTTCTCTGAGCTGTCTTCACTGATATTTGAGGCTCTTGCTTCAGTGACAAAGGGAACAGCACCATTCCTTTCAAAGAAACCAGAAAACATCATTTAGCACGGGACTCCATAGGGTCTGAAGGCTTTATTTGCATTCTGGTGGTCTGTATTCTAGAGCACTTGGAAGGTGTCCCCAGATAGTGATTTCTTTCCTCTTTTCCAGGTTCCTGGCTAAAACCTGGAGGGGGCTTGATGAACAGGGGAGAGAGAATCATTTGCCGTTCTCCTCTCTCTGATTTAGAAGATGTCTGCAGACAGTAAAAACATCCTGAATACCAAAAGCAAGGAGAAAACCCATGAGGTATGGTGGGACCCTAGGGAGAGAGGGATGCCTTGGAGTGGAGTAGAGGGCATTTTCGAAACGGATATCTGGACAAAAGGAAGAATGAGAATCAGTAGGATCGGGGCTTCCAGATGAGGGCACTGGGCAGAGGTGGGGGGGGGCGGAGGAGCGGCATCATGGGAAATAACTTCCAATTGGTCTTTCCAGTGTAAGTGTTTCTGCTCTGTATAGTAGGGGGCATAGCACTCAGAGAACGTAGGGAAGTTTTCTACTCCCCACTCGCTCTCTCCTGGGCCATGCCTCCTCATGGCTTACCTCTGAGGCTGAGTTCTAGTTCTGTCTGTAACTGCTGCCTGCCCTTGTGGTGTGTGTGTGTGTGTGGTGTGTGTGTGTGTGTGTGTGTGTAATTGCCACCTTTGGGGGTTCAGGTTCTCTGGGCTTGGAACTAAAGGCCTGATGTGTGACCTTGGGCCAGTGCCCTGGCCTGTGGGAACTACTTGTGCTCTGTGTAAAGTTTAGTCATACACTTGCCATTCCTGCCTGTCTCACTAGGGCACTGGTAGGCTGGAAGGAGATAGTGAATGTGAGAGTCATCTGTAAGCAGTTTGCCAGCCTGTGACTGACGACTACTGTGATGCCTGAACACCCAGAACTACTGGGCCAATCAGGAATTTGGATCCTCCCACTGAGTTTTGCTGGTGGTTATGAATACAATAAATGTACACTGGTGAGAGTGCTGCCATTTTTATGGTGTAGAAGCCCCAAGAACTGTTAGGTTTTTTTTTCTTTTGAGACAGGGTTTCTCTGTGGCTTTGGAGGCTGTCCTGGAACTCACTCTGTAGACCAGGCTGGCCTCAAACTCACAGAGATCCGCCTGCCTCTGCCTCCCGAGTGCTGGGATTAAATATGTGGGCCACCAACGCCCGGCTGTTTGTTTGTATTTGGACAGTGCTGGAGATCAGACCTAGGACCCTGAGCAAGCATTCTGTTACTGTGCTATGTTCCCCAGCCCTGTGTGTGTTCATGTGCACGTGGTGTGTGTGTGTGTGTGCTACTAAGGACTGAACCCTGCTTCTCTACATACTATAAGTAGAGAGTTACATCTCAAATCCACTTTTGACTTTTATTTTATTTTTCAAACAGGTTTGCTCAGTTTTTCATGTGGCCTTGAACTCTCCTAGTAGCCACGGGAGGTCTTGTTATCTTCCTGTTTCAGCTCCCTGAGTTGGCACCACCAGACCTAACAGTACATTCTGTTCTTACCAAGATCTAAATCACCCTAAATTTCCAATGATTTAATTTCAGGATTGCTAACCTAGTTGCTGCTCTAAAGTGTGCCTTATGTTTGAGTGTGCGTCCCACTCACTGGCTGTCTCTGCCCCATCTCCAGCCCAGTGCTCATAGGGAGTGTGATTCCTAGGTTCTAGGTCATGGACAATGCTATGGAGACATGCTTTCTGGGCAGGAGGAGACAGCACCCTTGGGAGCCTCTCAGGAGTCAATACATGTTAAGGCAGAGCCAGAAGAACCACACCCTGAGGGGACATCACCGGAGGACAGGGCTCCAGGAACACAGGGCTGGATGCCTCCAAGTCCTGGCTGTAAGGGGAAAGCCCTGCTCCTGCCTGGTGGAGGTAGGAGAAAGGTGTGCTTTCTGGGGGAGACATTTTGGGAGAGTTTAGGGTTTTACTGAGGCAGGGACCCAGATTTCCATCTTCTTCCTGTCATCCTTCTAGTGGGTGACTGACCGGCTTCATAGGTTGAATCGGGTGAGGGCTGAGGTAGCTGGGGAGCATCATGGCCCAGGATGCTGGCTGCCCAAGGACCTTGTCTTCCTACAGCTCTTCCCTCACCCTGCATCCCTGTGCTGTCCCGAGGTGGGAGGACTAGAGGTGGACAGGTGGCTGCTGCTCTCCTCACTGCCTGGTCCCATGTAAGTGTCCCCTGTCCCTCCACCTGCCCCAGGACAGAGGCAGGACTCTTCCTGGTCTTCACACGGTACTCAGACCTGTCTGTAATTGGCTCAACGTGGGACTCCAGAACACTGCTTCCTGTCCCTCATGGCGTCAGAACCCCCTGCTGCGGGGGCCACCTCGATCAGATGTGGGCTCACAGTGGTCGTGTCCCCTGCGGTGGATACCTTGTGGGGGCCTGGGCTGTGACCATGTACCCTAAACCGCTGCCTTGCTCCTGAATGTCACATCCCTCAGAAGGCCATTCTTGGGTGGCTCTTCAGTCCTGCCATCTAATCCAAATGATGGGGTCACTGGAGGCAGTAGTTTGAAGGCCTGGTGGTGTCATTTTTTTCTTCCCATGTCCACAGCAAACCCTGAATTGTGTTATTTCGTGTTGTTTCAGATGCCGGTGACCTTTGAGGATGTGGCTCTGTACCTCTCCAAGGAGGAGTGGGGAAGGCTGGACCACACACAGCAAAATTTCTACAGGGATGTACTACAGGAGGAAAATGGGCTGGCTTTGGGTAAGGGCTCATCTGCAATGATACCCTCCTGTGCTCTCAGGAATGTGGAAGGCTGCCTCTCTACCCACCCCTCTCCTCCTGTCCCCTTTCCTCTCTCCTTTATCTGGACAGCACTGCTCTGCAGAACCTTCCACACAGATGGAAATGTCTGCCTCTGTCTAGGACAGTGACCACAAGCCAAGTACCTGTTGAATTCCAGGAACAGGAGAGGAGGGATTAAATTTAAATTTCATTTGATCAGCTCAGACTGGAGTTTGAACAGCCAGTGTTGGGTGAGGTGACTCACGCCTGTAATTCCAGCAGTTGGGAGGCAGAGGCAAAGGCTGCCAGGGCTCAGTAGTGACACTTGTCCCAAAGGCTGTTTAAAAAGAAGCAGCAGCCTTGCCAGTGAGTGGCTGCCGCGCTGCAGTGTTGGCTTAGAATTCTGTTTTCCCTTTCACTGCATTAACTTATCCCACTGTGTGTTCCTTCCCAGAGTCCCAGCTTCAGATGTGTCCACTCATCTGGAGGCTCCCTGGTTGAATGCGACATCAGCTACCCACCCTCTCAGGCCCTTAGGAGAGGCAATTGCTGCTGCTTCAAGGAACTATGGGGCAAGATGCCCCTGCCGTGGTGGGGGGGCTTTTGACTCCTCAGTTCCAGACTGACCTTGACAGAGCTGAGTGATGTCTTCAGCTCTTCTTTGTCATCTACCCATCCTTTATGTAGCTATTTCCAATTTACTAGTTAAGGTGGAATCCCTGGGCCTAAGCAGAGTGTGTGTGTGTGTGAGTGTGTGTGTGAGTGTGTGAGTGTGTGTGAGTGTGTGTGTGTGTGTGTGTGTTTAACGTGGGAGATCCATCACCAGAGTTAACCTTGAATGTTGTCATTTCAGTGACCCACTTTGGTTTTTTGATTTTTTTGTCAAGACAAGTTTTTTCTGTGTAGCCCTGGCTGTCCTGGAACCCACTGTGTAGTTCACGCTGACCTTGAACTTAAATATCCGCCCGCCTCTGCCTTCCAAGTGCTGGAATTAAAGGTGTGTATCACCACTGCCCGGGTCACTTCTATTTTTTTGAGCTGGTCTCCTCCCTCAGCCTCCCAGGTGTTGGCAACCATGCTTCGCTCTAAAGAGAATGAGTGTCTTTTGTTTTGCCTTAGTTCTCTAGGGTCTCTGTTCCCACTTTTTCTTCACTGAGTCAGATGGGGGACGATGGGAGGAGTGTGGTTGGGTGTGATTTTACCGCTGGGCAGACCGCACCACTTCTCTCTCTGGACAGGGTTCCCGTGCAGCAGACCGTTCAGGGTCCCCCGAGTTCAGGGGAAGGGTGAGATGACAAGTCCCAGCAGATCAGCTGGAGCTGAGAGGAGAGGCCTCGGTTCAGGTGAGGGCCTTAGCAGATGCCTTGGCTTGGGGCTCTCCGTTGTGGGTGTGCATGAGGGTGGCTCTTGTCCCCTGGCTTCCCCTTGCCTTTTCCAGTTTCCTAGAATCTAGCTCCTGGGTTTTTAGCGCTGCCTTCCCATTCCGCGGGCTCCCCAGAAGTTTGTCTCCAGCTGGCAGCCCTGTCTTTTTGCAGGAGTTGTGGAAATGGGGAAGATGGTACCCACCCTAGCCGTGGCAACCCTAGGGGATACGAAACCCTTAAGGGCCAGGGCCAGGTGGGCCCTGAGGGAAGAGCCACAGTGTGGTCAGCAAGTGGCTTGTGGCCTGGGTGCAAAGATGGCCAGAGACGCTGGGGAAGCCAGGCAGCCAAAGCCATCCCTGCCCGACACGCATCCTCTCAAGACCCCAGAGGACAGCAGCCTAGAGAAACCCAGCGAGAAGGGTGCCCGGGAAAGTGGTGAGGAGGGGCTGGTTCCCGACGGTGAAACGGGCAAGAAGACGTACAAATGTGAGCAGTGTGGCAAGGGCTTCAGCTGGCACTCGCACCTGGTGACACACCGGCGCACACACACGGGTGAGAAGCCCTATACCTGCACCGACTGTGGCAAGCGCTTCGGCCGCAGCTCGCACCTCATCCAGCACCAGATCATCCACACGGGCGAGAAGCCCTACACCTGTTCCTCGTGTTGGAAGAGCTTCAGCCACCACTCCACGCTGATCCAGCACCAGCGGATCCACACCGGTGAGAAGCCCTACGTGTGCGACCGCTGCCCCAAGCGTTTCACCCGCCGCTCCGACCTAGTCACACACCAGGGCACTCACACGGGCGCCAAGCCGCACAAGTGCCCTCTCTGCGGCAAGTGCTTCACGCAGAGCTCCGCCCTGGTCACGCACCAGCGCACCCACACCGGCGTCAAGCCTTACCCGTGCCCCGAGTGCGGCAAGTGCTTCAGCCAGCGCTCCAACCTCATCGCGCACACTCGCACGCACACGGGCGAGAAGCCCTACCACTGCCCCGACTGCGGCAAGAGCTTCAGCCACAGCTCGCACCTCACTGCCCACCAGCGCACACACCGCGGTGTGCGGCCCTATTCCTGCCCGCTGTGCGCCAAGAGCTTCAGTCGCCGCTCCAACCTGCACCGGCACGAGAAGATTCACACCACCGGACCCAAGGCCCTGGCCATGCTCATGCTGGGGGCAGCAGCGGCGGCGGCGGCGGGAGCGCTCACTGCACCCCCACCTGCTCCCACTTAGAAGCCAGAGAGAGACCACCCAGGGTAGCTGGGACAGTCCCCACTGATGCTGGGACCCTGGGAAGACGCTGGGTCCTAGCTAGTGGGATGGACTTCGGTGAGGGTGTGGAGCTGTAGGGTGAAATGGATGGAGGGAGCAGATACTCTAACTGCAGGTTAAAGGTCATGGAAGGAGGGAGCAGATACTCTAACTGCAGGTTAAAGGTCATGGAAGGAGGGAGCAGATACTCTAACTGCAGGTTAAAGGTCATGGGAGGAGGGAGCAGATACTCTAACTGCAGGTTAAAGGTCATGGGAGGAGGGAGCAGATACTCTAACTGCAGGTTAAAGGTCATGGGAGGAGGGAGCAGATACTCTAACTGCAGGTTAAAGGTCATGGAAGGAGGGAGCAGATACTCTAACTGCAGGTTAAAGGTCATGGGAGGAGGGAGCAGATACTCTAACTGCAGGTTAAAGGTCATGGGAGGAGGGAGCAGATACTCTAACTGCAGGTTAAAGGTCATGGAAGGAGGGAGCAGATACTCTAACTGCAGGTTAAAGGTCATGGGAGGAGGGAGCAGATACTCTAACTGCAGGTTAAAGGTCATGGGAGGAGGGAGCAGATACTCTAACTGCAGGTTAAAGGTCATGGGTTTCAAGCTGTGGCCTGGCTCTGTCTGCCTGGTGCTTCAGCTGATCTCTGGTTCTACCAGGTGCCTCGTTCAGGCATCCCTGAGTCACCACTTTGGGCCTTGGAAGCCTCTTTTCCTTAGCCTTGTCTTGGGTCAGGGTCCCTTTTGTCAGAGGCCCATTCCAGAACATTAGGGCGTGTTTTTTTTTTAATAAATTTTTGTGGTTGTTGTTGATTTCTATATACATGCATGGTGTGGGGGTGTACCTGTGGAAGTCAGAGGACAACTTCTAGAGTTGGCTCTGTATCATGTGGTCCCAGGTATGGAGCTCAAGTTACCAGTAGGCAGCCAGCTTCACCTGTTGAACCATCTCGCCCTGGTTTTGTTTCTTGAGACCCGGTTTCGTGTAGCCTAGGGTAGCCTGGAACAAGCTTGGTAATGGATGCTTCTTGCATCCTTCTAGGTGTAGACCACCCAGCCCAACTGTGACCCCAGGTCTATAAACAAAGGCTCCGAGTTCAGGCTTCCCAGCTGGAAGACAGCCAGTCACTTCTGGAAATGAAATTGGGAAACCAGTCCCTTTAGCTGGCATCATGTCCCAAGGGCACTTGGCCCTTGCTGAGTTCTAGCTTCTCCTTTGGCTTTTACATTGAGAACCAGGAGCAGGGCAACTGTTTCCTGTCTACTGAACCCGATTGCCTGGCCCAGGCTCCTGGCTGTTTTGTGGGCATCTCCTCTCCATTTGCTTACACTGGGCCCTGCCAGGGAAACCGAGAATTCCTTACCAGGGACCACTCTCCCCTCATGCCTTCTGCAGCGGCTGCTGGCTCTGTTGCTCACCTCCTTGGGATAAGCCATTTATAATGTGCTGTACCTTCCCATTTGACTTTGAGCAAAAGTTCTGGTTTTTAACCTCTATAGCATCCATTCCCGTTTGCTCCTTTTTAAACCCAGGGTCCACCCTATGACCCTGCGCTGTGGCTCAACCTCCAAGAGAATACTCGGCTCTGATACCAGAGAGGTCTCAGGGAGCCACGCACTGTCTGCAGCTCTGGGTGGCGCCGGCTTCCAAGGGGTTCAGTTCTGTAGCTTGAATAGGACACAGAGAATAGTAACAAATACCTCTGGAGGCTGGGAGCAGAGGCGGTGGGTGCATGGATACATCACGTGCATTGTCTGCATCACCTCTACGCTCTGCAGCCGACGGGGTTTATTCCTCAGTGTCGTTGCTTTTTGTTTATTTAGTGTGCATCCGTGTATGTCTCTTCACCACTGAGTCATCTCTCTGGCCCCTGAATCACAAGTCACACTGCAAATTGGTGTCAGATCAGGTCGGGCAGGGCTGTGGTGTTTGTTTTATTTTGGGTTTTTCTGTTTGTTTAGACAGGGTTTTAATATGTAGCCCTGGCTATCCTGGAACTTGCTCAGGAGACAAGGAACAGGCGGATCTCTGAGTTCAAGTCTAGCCTGGTCTACAGAGCAGCCAGAGCTATACAGAGAAACCCTGCCTCAAAAAAACATATTTTATTATTTTTTTATATTTAGACAGTATCTCAGATACCCGAAGTTGGCCTGGAACATCAAGGATGACACTACCCACTGGTTGTACTGGCTCTGTCTCACAAATGCTGAAATACAGATGTGCTCTACCACACCTGGCTAACTGGTTATTTATCAAAGAGGCCAGAAAGACAGACTACCACCTCCATCTTGTCTGCACAACGAATGTCACTCAGCCAGCCATGGGATTTCTCTGTGTGGCTCAGTGTGAGGGGCTGAGCGGGCTCTCACCTGTGAAGTGGCCTTTCTCGGAGAACACCTTAATGAAGACGAATGACTGTTTGCAAAGACTTGTTAGATTTCGAGGGACCTTGGTGTGCTGACTCACTTGCACGATGGGCGTTGTTGACTGTCATTTCGGTTTCTCGGGCTGTGTGCCTGATGCCTTGGGGTGTGCAGCGATCCACTGAGTCAGATGACACGAGGATGTTCAGAAGAGACGGCCGCCTTGAAAACTACTCACCAAAGAACAATAAAATGAAGAATTAGTATTGTGGGCCTCGAAAGGAAATGATGATTTGGTGGGTGGTGGGGTGTCATGAAAGGATGTCGGAGGGTTCATGACCCCAGCAGAACACCTGGTGTGCTAGTGTGCTGCCGAGAGCAGAACGCCCGCGAGGACCCCGAATGCATTTCCTTCTGAGTTTCCCATGGCTCAGGGTCCTGGTGGAAGAGCCGTCTTAGCCGGGCGGAGGTGGAGGGTAGGGGACACGTTGCTCCTCGGAGCTCTCGGCCCGCAATAGGTAAGGAGTCTGTGCTTTTTCCACACCAAAGGCCCCGCCCTCCCCTGTCCTCAGCCAGTCAGTTGCCAGGGAGATGGGCGCCTGAGAAACCAGCTAATGACTGCGGACCAGCAACGCGACTCTTTCCCTATCAGGCTCCAAGCCGCGGCGTTGCCCAGGCAACGGTTTCAGGTTTCCCTTCTCCTCCCTCAGAGGAACCAAAGACTGTATTCACTGACTCCCTCTGTCTGCATCCTCACCTCCCCGGACTCTTAGGGCTGTGGCCCTGACTCACCTGAAACTTTCCATGGAGAGACCGGGCTGGACTAGAACTTGTAGCGATCTCTCACCTCTGTCTTTAATGTGATGGGATTACACGTGTATACCACTAGGCCCAGCCTTTATTTATTCACTTTTTGATTCAGATATACTTAAAATTCAGTCTTCGCACGGTTTTTACTTAATGCAGCACTTGTATATTCATATTAAAGATTGGCATATAAAAACATAGTAAAGCTGGGCGTTGGTGGCGCACACCTTTAATCCCAGCACTCGGGAGGCAGAGGCAGGCGGATCTCTGTGAGTTCGAGGCCAGCCTGGTCTACAGAGTGAGTTCCAGGACAGCCTCCAAAACAATACAGAGAAACCCTGTCTTGAAAAACCAAAAAAAATAAAATAAAATAAAAAAACCAGACAACAACAAAAACAAACAAACAAAAAACCAGAAATACACATTTATTTGTCGGCGTTGGTGGTACACACTTTTAATCCAGTCCTGTAACTCTGGAAAAGCAGTCTGTGCCCTTAATGGCTGAGCTGTCTCTCTAGCTCTGGAAGCATTACCTGTATTGCTGTACAGACATATCCAGCAACACAAATTGGAATAGAATGAAACATGTCTACTCTTGGCATAGTCACTTACAGGAAGGGAAAGAGCAGTAGCCAGCTAGCTGATATACTAACCAATGAATAATTTTAAAGCATCTTATAGGTGATGCCAAGTAAAGCAATCATGTATTCACTAAAATATAGCCTAGTGAAAAAAAATGAATTGCTGGGTATGTGGCACATGCCTTTAATCCCAGCAGTCGGAAGGCTGAGGCAGGTCTACATAGTAAGTTCCAGGCCACCCAAGACTACAAAGAAAATCCTGTCTGAAAAAAAAACAGAAAGACTTTTGAAAAAAATTTTTTTTGGTTTTTACGAGACAGGGTTTCTCTGTATTGTTTTGGAGGCTGTCAGTCCAGCCTGGCCTCGAACTCACAGAGATCTGCCTGCCTCTGCCTCCCGAATGCTGGGACTAAAGGCGTGCACCACCACCGCCCGGCGCACAAGATGCTTTTCAAACAACATCTTGGATTTCTTTTTTTTAAGATTCATTTATTTATTATGTATACAGTGTTCTGCATGCACGCACACCTGCATGACAGAAGAGGGCATCAGATTTCATTATAGATGGTTGTGAGCCACCACATGGTTGCTGGGAATTGAACTCAGAACCTCTGGAAGAGGAGCCAGTGCTCTTAACCTCTGAGCCATCTCTCTAGCATTTTGTTTGTTTGTTTGTTTTTGTTTTTTGAGACAGGGTTTCTCTGTGTAGCCCTGGCTGTCTTGGACTCACTCTGTAGACCAGGCTGGCCTTAAACTCACAGAGACCTGCCTGTCTCTGCCTCCCAAGTGTTGGGATCAAAGGCCTGTGCCACCACCGCCTGGCTGTCTATCTTGGATTTCTATTTTTGAGTTCTAGAGTGAGATTGTCTTTATGTGTCTCTCCATCCTGAAAACAGTTGTTAAGAACAGGGGAGTCCTCCTGAACTTGTGACATGGCCATTTAATGACATAACCAGTGGCTGTATATTGAATGATTTTGAGTGTCATCAAGCCTTAAACATGAGTGCAGAGGGGGCTGGAGAGATGGCTTGGACATTAAGAGCACTGTGTACATAGGGAGCAGGGTGTTCAAGACAGGGTTTCTTTGTGTAGCCCTGGCTGTCCTGGAACTCTCTCTGTAGACCAGGCTGGCCTCAAACTCAAGAGATTCACCTGCCTCTACCTCCTGAGTACTGAGATTAAAGGCTGAGATTAAAGTTGGTGTGCTACAACCACCTGGCTCTTAATGTTCTTTTGTACATTGTTATGTTTCTTGTCACTGTGTTACCAGCTCTGCCTTCACTACTCCAAGTAGGCAAGACCACTCAAGAGTTTCCCCGGGACTAATACAGCAACACCAGGAGAGGCAACACAAGTGTCTCCCAGCCTGCTGTGTGTCCAACGGGCCTGCTTATATGCCCTAGGGAGAGGTGTTTGGACAATCACAGCCTTGCCTTGCCTTGCCTTTAAGCAATCAGTCACAGGAGAGAGAGGGAGGGAGGGAGGGAGAGAAGTGGATAGAGGAAGAGAGAGAGGGAGAGAGGGAGGGAGAGAGAGACGGAGAGAGGGAGAGAGGGGTGCTCATTTTGTAGCCTAGGTGGACATGGCTTCAGGGTTATCTAGAATTCAGAGGCTTGTGGAAGCAAGAACTGACTGTCTCAAACAACCCTGGCTGAGGCTCCGCCCTTAGGAGCAGTGACAATCAGGATTAATCTCTGTGTAGTTTTCTCAAGGTGTCCATTGAGTGAGTGTTCCAAATAGCAGGTGCTGACCTGAGGTCACTCCAGCTGGGTGTTTGACTATCAGTCCTTTTGCTCAAGGACCAGGGGCAACAAGGGAGAGTCTAACGGTTGTCACATATAGTCAAACTGCCTCATTCCGGTTTTTATTTATTTATAGAAAAATAAACATCAAGGATATTTACAAGATAAAGCTAACTCACCATTAACATCAATAGTGGTTTTAATAGATTGCAACAATGCTTAACACTAGTCCAGGCAGAGCCTGCTGCTCAGTGTCCCTAGGCATCAGGACTTCGGCTCCTCAGCTTAGTACAGAAGGAAATATTGGTAGATGGGAAGCGAACGCTGCCTGGGATGAAGACTCCACTCTAATTAGATTGCATTTTCCAGGATGCCCCGAGATCTCCCAAGGACCTGATTCAGGCTAAGCGGGACCTAGAAGGTAAAAATGAGACTTCTCCCAAATCTCTAGCTCCAGGGTTTCCCAGATTGACCAGTTGTGGGGATTCTCCCTGTTCATTGGCTAAAAATCTCTGACAAACAGCATTCTGCCAAGTAAATTTCCAAACTCTTGTCCCCGCGCACGCGCCTGATGGTTTCCCAGCGAACCCCGCGCGGACTTCCGGCACCAGGAGCTGGTGGAGAAGCTCTTAGCGCCTGTGCGCCTCTGGGCGTTGTGTGCTGGGGGCGGGACTGGCGTTCCGCGCCGTCGGGCTCCTGCGGATTTGGCGTCCCAGGCGCAGGCCGGGGGGGACGCGGTCCTCTGGGCAGTGCGGCCGCCGGCGGCTCCTTGCTCTCCGGGTCCCCGGGCAGCACAGCTGAGCCCGCCGCTCTCGCCAGGCTGCTGGGGACCGTCCCCCTTTCCCACGTCCTGTCCAGCGACCCTGGTGAGTCCGGGCCCTCTCCGAGGACACCTCCTCGGTCACTGGAGCATGAGGCAGAAGGCTCGAGAAGAGAAGCGTAAATAAAGTGTTTGTGGTAGTGGAGAAGAATTGGAAATCGCCCGAATGCATCACTCGGGTCGGTTGGGGAACTGGAGCACCCCCATGCCGCGGAAGCTTATAGGTCCACTAAAGAAGAAACGTTGCTAGGTGAAAAACGCAAAATCCAAAGTGGTATGCTCATAAGATCTCATTTAAGTAAAGCACACATAAATCACTTGTCGATCCTGAAGATAACAATTTTCAGTAAAAGCACAGGAAAAAATATGGCACTGTCATGGATCAGATTGTTAGTGAATCAAAAGAAACGTGTCGTTAACATTCCCCTTCCGTTTTTAAGATTATGGTGTTCATGCCAGTTAGACTGTTGAAACAAAAAAGGGCAAGACTTCAAATCACACTTAGAATATTGTGAAGCAGTAGCAACATAAAATACAAATACATGCCATGTATTCACATATAGCTGTAAATAAATGTCATAGTGGTGTCCATGAGGCCTCTGATACCACCTGGAGTAAGATGTTTCTGGCATTTGTAAGCTTTTCTTAGACAGATTTTTTTTAATTTTGTGTGTATTGAGTGTTTGCCTTCACGCATCTAAGTGTACCACATGCACACCGCGTTTGAGAAGGCCTACGAAGGGCCTCAGGTACCCTGGGATTGGAATTACAATGGCTCTGAGTCCCCAAGTGGTTGCTGGAAGTTGAATCTGTGTCCTTTGCAAGAGAAACACATCGTAACCACTTAGCTGTCCCTCCATCCCTGTAAATTTGTAAGTTTTCAAATTTGAGAAAAATAACAGTATGGCCTATCAGTAGAGGCACTTAATACAGCATTCATAATTAAACATGATAATTATAAAATATTTTGAAACAGTTTTGCTCTATAGCCCATACTGGTCTCTAACTTTGGGCACTCCTGCTTTGGTCCTTACAGTTCTAGGATTTCAGATGTATGTCACTGTGCATGTACCATTATATCCAGTGAAATTTTACAATAAAGCATATATGCTCAAAAACATACCTTAAAAATAGCTCAGTGAGGCTGGGTGATAGTGACTTATGCCTTTAATCCCAGCACTTGGGAGGTAGAGACAGGCGGATCTCTGTGAGTTAGAGTCCAGCCTGGTCTACAGAGCGAGTTCCAGGACAGCCAGAGCTACACAAAGAACCTGTCTTGAAAACCCTCACCACCACTACCACCAAAAAACAAAAAAAAAAAAAAAAAAAAAAAAAAACGTGTGCACCATGCATCTACAGAACCGAGGAAGTCAGAAAAGGGGGTTGGGTTGTCTAGAACTAGAGTTACAAAGAGTTGTGAGCCACCCTGTGGATGCTAGGAACCGAACCTGGGTCCTCTCTAACAAATGCTCTTAACCTTGGAGGTCTCTCTTCAGCCCTCAATGACACACACACACACACACACACACACACACACACACACACACACACACACACACACACACGGTCTCCTGTATCTGAGGCTAGTTGCAGACTTTCCGTGTAGCTGGGATTACAGATATGGACCGTCCCACCCAGTTCAGTGCTGGGGATCATTTGTGCTAGACAGCCACTGTAACAACTGAGCCACATCCACAGCTGGCCCAGGGGTCTTTACAGACTGCATAAACATGCTTAATTCTGCTATGAAGCGTGGACAGTTACTATAAATGAAGATAATATGTTCATATTAACAGGTGCAGTAGTGCTTCCAAATGAGTGAGATTAGGTTTTGCTGTCAAATGGGACTTGAAAAACCCAGATTTGGGATGTCAGATGTAGTGATAAAGAACTGTGGGTCTGTATAGAGCGCACCATTGCAGTAAAGTCTAAAGAGGCTTTAGAGGTACAGAAGGATACAGTTGCCAGGGCTCTTAGACTTTGCTCTAGTCTGGTGTATTCCACTCTTCCTCAAATACTGTCCTTTTGCTCTTTCCAGAGGCGTATGTGTCCTGATGCCAGCCCAGCTGTCACCAAGAACCTCTCTGGGAGATTCAGCTCTGGAGCCCTAAGCTAAGGCTGACTAGCCCTGAGCCTTCGGCCAGGGGAATGGCATCCTTCCAGGAGCTCCAAGACCGTGCCCCTGGGGAGGAAGATGGCCTTGTGATTGTCAAGGTGGAAGACTGCTCTTGGGAGCAGGAGCCCGCCGAGCAGGTGGACAGCAAGGATTCAGAAGCCTGCCGCCAGCGCTTCCGTCAGTTCTGCTACAGGGATGTGAGTGGGCCACACGAAGCCTTCAGCCAGCTCTGGGAGCTGTGCTGCCGCTGGCTGCGGCCTGAGCTGAATAGCAAGGAGCAGATTCTGGAGTTGCTGGTGCTGGAGCAGTTCCTGGCTGTGCTGCCTGGGGATATCCAAACCCAGGTGCAGAGACAGCGCCTTGGCAGTGGTGAGGAAGCTGTTGCTTTGGTGGAGGACATACAGAATCAGTCATTGAAAGCCTGGTCACAGGTGAGGGGTCCTTTCCGTGTCTAGGAGCCTGAAGAGTAGAGGCCATCTTCGTTGAGACAAGTCTCTGCAGGGGGCAGGGGACAGCCGCGTTCAGGGAAGCACACACAAGGACAAGTCTTAAGTAAATGTAGGGTATTTTTCATGATGTCATTGGATTTAAAGTGGTTGTGGTTCAGAAAGGGTTAGTTCTTATTTTGTTGTGTTTTTGTTTGTGAGATGGTATTGCTCTGCATAGCTGGCTGTCCTGAAACACCCTGTAGACTAGGCTGGCCTTGAACTCAGAGACCCAATTGCCTCTGCCTCCCCAGTGAGTCCAGAAAGGTTTTAAGGTACACACAAGTGTTTGTGCTTTGCTCTAGGAAGTCTACTGACTACTCTAGTCAGTCCAATACAGTGGTTTTCCTCAGAGGAGTAAGAGAGATGAAGCCATCTAAGGGTACCCTGCTGTCTTGAGTACTTGACACTGGGAACTTCTGGGGATGTGCCAATGAGCAGCTAGGATGTGGGGTTCTGCCCTTGGCAGAGGACTGCCCCCCAACTTTCTCCCTTGCTAAGTAGCTCTAATTCTAGTCTTTTAGGGACTGGTTCTTGCTGGGGTTTTTTGTTTGTTTTTTGGTGTTTTGAGGCAGAGTTTCTCGTGTAGCCTTGTCTGTCCTGGAACTTGCTCTGTAGACCAGGCTGGCCTCTTAATGAGATCCGCTGCCTTTGCCTCCCAAGTGCTAGGTTTAAAGGCATGTGCCACCATCACCTAGCCAGTTCTTGCTTCTTGATCATGAAGTGTCCTTGAATATAAAACACTGCCTGTTTAATCCCAGCACTCGGGAGGCAGAGGCAGGCGGATCTCTGTGAGTTCGAGGCCAGCCTGGTCTACTGAGTGAGTTCCAGGATAGCCTCCAAAACAATATGGAGAAACCCTGTCTCGAAAAACCAAAAAAAAAAAAAAAAAAAAAAAAACCCAAAAAAAAAAAAAACCAAAACAACAACAACAAAAAAAACACTGCCTGGTGTCTAATTCTTCTGTGGTCCTTTCTGGGTCTCCATCTAATCTCTTATCCCACCCAAGCCTCAGTTTCCTAATGGGTGTGTCTCATACCTCCTTCCCCTGCCCCCACCTCCAGTCTGCTCTCTGTGCTGATGGGCATGTTATGATGACTGCACAGGATGAGCCCTCTGAAATGGAGCCTAAAGCAGCAGTCCATGGACTCCAAACCAAAGGGCCTCCCCAGAAGGCAAGGGTGCAGAAACAGCTACCTGCATCCAAAGAGCAACACAGCCAGGGTGAGTAAGATTCTGCAGTCAGCAGTGTGGCTACACAGGACCTAGGTTTCTTGTCTAGAATTGCCCTGAGGGTAACAGGCACAGGGAAGCCCAGTCACATGAACACATGTTTGCATGCATTTGGTGTGTGTACATGTGCAAGTTTAGATGAAGCCATCAGTCTCAGTCCTTGCCCTTGGCCTGTATGAAGCTCTGTTCTTTTTCCGCAGCCCAGCTTCCTGTTCTTAAAGAGGGGCGGACAGGAGAGATGATGAATGTCTGCTTTGCCTCTGCAGTTCATGTGAGTTAGAGTTCCCTTGTTCTCACAGAGGGCTTGGTGCTCTTGAATATATAATTTGATCTCTCCTGTCTTCACTCACAGCTGTCTGGGAGACCCGAGCTGGGTCATATCTCCTCAGTCCAAAAGCCTTTGGCACTGGGAGACATCCCTTTCTATTTCTCCCAAGAAGAATGGGGCTCCCTGGACTCTGCTCAGAGGGATCTCTTCTGGGACATAAAGAGAGAGAACTCCCGGAACGCTGTTCTCGGTAAGCAGGTCTGTGGGGCCCTCTTTCTGCAGTAATCCTGGTCTTCCCACCCTTCCCTAACCTGGTTCTAAAGCTAGCTTTTTCTGAGTCTCCTCAACAGCCTCCTATGAAGTTCAGGTGTCTGTGTCTGTGTAGGTTATGTGACCAATTGACCATTGCTCTCTGTGTGTCAGCTCTGTGTCAGCGCCCTGTGGAGGGCTTGTAATGGCATTTTCCTAGTCAAACCTCAGTCTGCTACATAGGAAAGTTTGTCCCCAGACATCAGTGAGGTTGATGAACCTTGTCAGCCACAGACCACCAAGTGAAGCCCTTTCTCAGCATTCCCTGTTCTCATCTTGCTTAACTGGCAGAACCGTGAGTGGGCTTGGGGCTCCTCCCTGTCTAAGGCTGGAGTGTGCTCTGTCTGCAGAGCTGGGGTTTAAGGAATGAGGAGCCACAGTGAGTATACACACTGGTGCCTTCACTTACTTGTTTGTCTTGGTTTTTTGAGACAGGGTTTCTCTGTGTAGCTTTGGCTGTTCTAGAAGTAGCTCTGTAGACCAGGGTGGCCTCAAACTCACAGAGATCCACCTGCCTCTTCCTAAGCAGTGCTGAGATTAAAGACTGTGACACCACCGCCCAGCTGGTGCCTTCAGTTTACAGACAGGGAATGAGCCATTGGCTTTAGCTGTGGAGAGTGCCATTGGCCACGGGTGGGGAACAGGCAGGGTCTTTGTAATAGCCTCTGCAGTAGGGTCAGCTCAGCTACCTCAGAACTGCTCGTTTGTTGGCCTTTTATCATTTTCCCATAAAAAGGACTTGTAAAATAAAAATACATTTTAATATATTTTGTGTGCAGTACAGAGAGGGGCAGGTAGAGGTCAGAGGACAGCTTTCTGGAGTTGGTTCTTTCCTTCCGCCATATGGGTCCTGTGGATAAGTCAGGTGTGGTGGTCAGGCTTGGCAGTAGGTGACTTTATCCACTTAGCCATCTTGCTCGCCTGTCTGGTCATTTTGTAGGTGAGAAGACTGAAGCTTGATGTGTCTGAGCGGCAGCAGCCTAAATCTCAAAGCCAGGGAGAATTCCCTGAGTTTCGTCAAATCTTTTCCCGTCCAGAGTCAAGGAGGACTAAAGCTGCTTCTCCTCTCCTTGCAGGTTTGGGATCCAAAAGCCAGAGCAAGAGCGCTCCTCCAGACGAGGCCGTGCCAGCATTGTCGGGACAGACTGACTGTGAAGTGACTATGTCCTGGAATCCCAAGGAAGCTGAGACCGAGGTCTGGGAGAGTGAGAACCCACCGAGGACAGCCCTGGGTGCGCTGGTGGTGGCTCGTCGGGGCCGACCGCCCACTCGCAGGCGTCAGTTTCAGGATTTAGTGACTGAGAAACCCCACAGCTGCGGGCAGTGTGGGAAGCGCTTCCGCTGGGGCTCAGACCTAGCCCGGCATCAGCGAACACACACTGGTGAGAAGCCACACAAGTGCCCTGAATGCGACAAGAGCTTCCGCAGCTCTTCTGACCTGGTGCGTCACCAGGGCGTGCACACGGGCGAGAAGCCCTTCTCTTGTGCTGAGTGTGGCAAGAGCTTCAGCCGCAGCGCCTACCTGGCTGACCACCAGCGCATCCACACGGGCGAGAAGCCCTTCGGCTGCAGCGACTGTGGCAAGAGTTTCTCGTTGCGCTCCTACCTGCTGGACCACCGGCGTGTGCACACAGGCGAGCGGCCTTTTGGCTGTGGCGAGTGTGACAAGAGCTTCAAGCAGCGTGCACACCTCATCGCGCACCAGAGCCTGCATGCCAAGATGGCCCAACCCGTGGGGTGAGTCACCAGTGGGACCTGAGCAGCCCAGGGAGGAGAATACTCCCTGTGAGTCTCACAGCTTCTCTTCTTTGTTCCTCTTGGAGAATTCTCTTGCCTGTGACCACTGCCAGCCTATGGAAGGCACCCAAGTCCTCTGAACTGGCCTGCCTGCTCCAGGATGCTGCCACCCGCCTCTCCCTTTCCTGCCCTGGGTTTCTCTCCCACTTGTTTCCTGGAGCTCCTCAGTTTCCAGTGGAGTAACAGGTGGTGTGAGGCCTCAGACAGGAGCTAGGGTTTCTCCAGCCTTGCTTGGCCAGAGGCTCTCTGTTTCTGTCTACTTGTGCCTTCCAGTGGGGACTGGCCTCCAGGGGACCTCTGGGCTTTGGGAAGGACCATGGGCTCACACCTATGACAGCTTCGTCACAGCAGCTTCTTGGCCTTCACCATTCCCCCTGTCCTCCACTTCCAACCTGTGACCACTCTGTCCTCCCTGACCCCAGGAAGCTGCCCAGCTGTCCTGCTGGGAGCCCCACACATACTTGCCTGCAGGTCTGGAGGTTAGTGGAGGTGGCAGCTGTAGCAGCAGACTCTGGAGAGCACCCACTCCTCCAGAGGTGTACTTAACACTAGCACTCCATCAGCACTTTGTAGCTGACTCCTCGAGCACTGTATTCCATGTTTTTAATCTGCATTGTGTGCAGATTAACATTAACAGGGACAGACCATGGGCCCCCCCAAAGGGCTCAGTCTGGCGGGCTTCAGAAGAGTCTGAATAAATATGGAGATTTTCCTTGAGGCTGTCACTACTTAGCTGGCTTTTCTGAGTTAGGGGCATGGAAGTTACCTCTTGGCTTGGTAACACTGATGGTTACCATCTGGTGTACGCAGTCACCAGGGGGAGCCACATCCTGTATCTGCAGCCTTGTGACTCTCCCGTGTCAGTGGGGGAAGCCCTGGTTTGGCAGAGCAGGACCTAATCATGACTTGGAGTCTGTGTCCGGTCCTCCTCACTGCGGTAGTGAAATGAACAAGGGGCTAACGTGGGACTGACCGGCTGCTGCTCTGTGGGGTCTAGAACTCAGACTTGCCCTGTATGACCTGGAAGCTGCCAGAGGTTAGCCAGCCACAAGGAGTCCCGCTGTTATTCCCAGCCGTCCCTCAATACCCTAGTACAAGCTGGGGCCTACCCAGAGCTGGTGGTGCCTGGTCAGGGCCAGTCACTCCTCTGACTGTTGCTGACCCTCTTGGTTCATTGTGTCAACCTTAGGGGGCCTCACCTGGGTACAGATAGAGACAAGATGCTCTTGTCCCTTATTAACTGCCTCGTGTGCGCCAGTCTTTGTCTCCAGCTTCCTTCCTCTGCCAGCCCCCAGTTTAGCACATCTGCCTTGTGGGCTCAACCATCCCCATTCCCCACACGAAGCAAGCAAGGTCATACTGTTGACCAGGCGGGTTCCAGGCAGCCAGCTGTCCCTGCCCCTGTGCGCTCTGCACTGTTGTATGCTTGGGCTTTCTGCACAGCCACATGGAGGACAGGGTGAAAAGGATGCTGGGAATCATGTCAGGGCTTTAGGACTGGCAGCTCCCTCCTAAGGGAGACACTTCGGTGTAACACAATCAGATAGGAGCATGGGCCAAGGGCTAAGAATAGAGCTGAGCTCAAGCTCATGACTCAGGTGGGCACACAAGAGTGCCAGCCATGAAGCTATCAGCCAGAACTGGAGAAGAGAACTGGGCTGGGGGAGTGGAGCCTAGGTTTACCAAGGAAGGGCAGAGTCCAGATGGGATCATAACAGTTAATAGGAGGCAACGTGTGTGAAAGAGGGCAAGGGTCAGGCCCCAGTGTACTGGGGACCAGAGCCAGGGAGTACGTTCTGGGATTGGAGGAGCCCCGCCTGGTCCTCATGGCCTTCCTGGTGTCTGGGACCCTACAGGTGGCTACACAGTTGGCGGATGCTTGGGACAGCTTGGGGAGAAAGGTAGCCAGGTGCTCTGCTTGGTCCAGCCCATTCCCAGCAGCCAGCTGGGCTCCAACCCAGCACAGCTCTGGTCTTCCTTTCCCAGGGAAAGTACAGTGTGCAGGGTTCAAGGGTAGCCTTGATACTCAGCAGCTCTGGGGTGTCTGCGGCTACAGTTGCTGCCCTGGATGGTGTGTCCCAGGCTCTGGGCTTTGAAAGCTGTGAGAAGAGGAAGGTCCCAGTTCAGGTGAGCTTCCACCCCAAGACCTTCAGCCCTTAGCCATGGCACTCCCTTTTAGCTGGGGCCTCACCAGACTCTGCCTTTCTCCTAGAGCTTCCTTGGGGAGCTGCGTTTGTTCCTGGAGCAGCTAGATGTCCACAGCGGTCCTGTGGGGTGTGCCCTTGTGGTCTTGATGGCCCCCAGTGGGCAGTTAAGGCGTCCACAGCTGCTGGTTCAGGAGCTGAGTCGCTGTGGGGCCCTGCAGGGTTGCCCCAAAATCTTCCTGGTGCTCTCTAGTGACCTCAAGGGTGAGTGGCTAGGCAGTGACCCCAGTTCTGGGAGGGAAAAGTGAAGGTGGGGGTGAACAAGAAAGCTGGGACCTTCTGTCCTGCCTACACAACCCTGTGGTCTTCTCCACCAGCCGCCTGGGAGCCTGCAGCTTTCCTCACGGATCTGGGGAAAATCTGCAGCCAACATCCTCACTGGTCACTGCTGCAGCTGCTGACAGAGGTGGGGGGACCCAGAGGAAGGGAAGGCGGGCCTATGTCTCTGGCTTCCCAGAGCCAGTACAGCTAAATTTATTCACACTCCGTCGTATGTGTTCTGAAAACCTTTGTCAGCTACACACATACGTGGGCTGCAGGACATGCCTTCCCACCTGCATGAGACCATCCAGACTCCAAACTGACGTCTCACGCTTTTGCCCGAAGTATTTCCTCAATGTGACGTGCCCTCCCTGTGGCCTGGCCAGTCTCACTGCCATCAGTGGTACCCTCCCTTGTGCTCCTGATGTCTACAGTGAAACTTGAGCCGCAGCCTTTGATGCTCATGCAGGCAGCGCCTGCTGCCCTGTTCTTTTGTTTGGTCCTGAGGGCTGAACATCTTGTCAGGCAGTTCAGTGGTGTCTGGGTAACCTACACGTGCAGGAGTGAGAGCTGTGAGCCCCAGCTCTGCTCCACGGCTCTCCCAGCCCAGCGCCTCTCCAGGTGTGCCACCTTGGGAGTCCTCCTCCACAGACCTGTGCCCTCCAGGAAAGGTCCTGCCTCTGTGGGTATTAATCCCTAGGATGAGATAATGAGCTTGGGTCTGGGTTAGAGCCTAGGTCCTGCGTAAGTCCTTACTGACCTCTGTGTCTCCCCCTTTCTCCCTGCCTTGTGACCTGAGTAGCCCTGAGCTGGCTAAGTTTCCCCTGGAGCCAATATCCTGACCCTCTCTGCTTGGGTTGCGCCCTCCACTCCCAACAGTGCAGTTCTCTGAGGTGTCCGTGGGCCCTGCCCTCCTAGCTCTTTTGCAGAGTGGCTGAAGAGTCTGCTGGGGATACCTACTGCCCATTCTTTAGGACCTCCTTGCGGGGGACCCTGTGTTTGGGAAATGTGGAGCCCTGGAGTCTGGAGGTGAGGGGCAGGCAGGGAGGCCAGTCAGCCCTGTGTGGGCAGTTGCAGGTTGGGTGGAGAGATACAGATGGGGAAAGGAGGAACTGGGAGTCCCCTCAGCCCACTGTGTGTCCCTAACCCTCTGTACAGTTAGACTCCGGACCAAGTGCACGGTATGACCTGTCTGGGACCAGGGCTGCCCTCCTACTGGCTGTGATTCGAGACCGGCTTGGGACACAGCACGATGTGGCAGCATTGGGGGAGCTGTGCCAGGCCATGGGCTTCAAGGTCACCCTGAGGACAGACCCTACAGCTCAGGTCAGGGGAGACCCAAAACTGAAGGAGTTTGGAAGGAAGGGCACCCTCCCCTAGGGCCCTGGAGTTTTCCTTCCTGGGTCTCTCCCACACCACAGGCAGGATGTACATCTAAGTCTTGCCTCTGACTTCTTCCTACATGCACGTGACAGTCACGTCCTTGACTTGGAAAGCCTGCTCTCCAAGACAGAGGCTGAAGAAGTACCCCCAGCCCCATGGTGGTCAGCCAGGGGTTGGTTCAGACCTTGTTCTCACCACTCCAGGCATTCTGGGAGGAGCTGGTTCAGTTCCGAGAGAAGCTGGACTCTCACAAGGGCCCTGTGAGCTGTGCCCTGGTGGCCCTGATGGCTCACGGGGGGCCACAGGGGCAGCTACTGGGGGCTGATGGCCAAGAAGTACAGCCTGAGATGCTGGTGCAGGGGCTGAGCTCCTGCCAGGCACTGCGTGGCCGCCCCAAGGTCTTCCTGCTCCAGACCTGCCGTGGGGGTAAGGGGCCCTGCCTCGGGCCCAACCACTTACCCTGGTTTCCTCTGCCAGCCCTTGGCCTCCCACATTTCCTGCCCACCTCCTCCAGGGAAGCCATCCCTGCCCCCTCCCCACAAACTTGAGCCTGTATGAGTATTGCCAGCTCTGTAAGCCTGCCCCCTATTTATATGGAGTCGGGATTACCCAGAGATATCCTGAGGTGCCTCTGAGTACAAGCATCTGACCCCCTGCTTCTCCAGGGAACAGAGACCCTGGTGTGGGGCCAAGAGCTCTCCCGTGGTACAGGCGCTGGCTGAGAGCACCCCCAGCCATCCCCACCCAGGCAGATGTTCTCCAGATTCATGCTGATGCCCCAGGTGGGTCTGCCTTCCTCCTAGAGCCTGGGCTTGGCACACTGGTGGTGGGATCACTCATGGCGTACTTCCAGGACTGCCATCTTGGGGTCTGCTGCCACCTCTGCCCCTTCTTTGCCAAGACTCAGGGAGGAAAGGTCTCCTTAAGCTGCCAGGCACCTAACTGAGCTGAGCAGCTTCTTTGAGTTCCTACAGCCAGAATGCTGTAAGACTTTGGTTTTCCAACTGTCTTCCTGTCCTGAATTTCCCACTGCCCTCTGTGCTGCCCTTGAACCAGAGACAAGACCTGAGGCAGGTGGTGTCTCAGGATGCTGGTAAGGGGAGTTGACTCTTTTGCAGGTAACCCTCCCTCCACTCCAGGCAGCTCTGGCCAAGCAGATGTCCTTACTGTCTATGCAGCCGCTGAGGGTAAGTTACTGTGGCCCTGGCTTCCCGCCCCGAGACCTGGTGTGACTCTAGTATCAGCAAGAATAGGTGTACCAGCCCAGCCGCAGTTAAGCCATGTTCCCCCCATAGCTTATTCTTTATCGTCATAGTAACAATGGCAAGTTTTTGTCAAGTGCTCACTATGCCAAGCCCTTGTGTCCTTCAAAGACAGGGCAGGTCGGCTTGCCTCAGGACCCTGACCAATGTTAGATACCTAGCAAGTCCACAGCAAATGTTTCTTCAACATCGATTCTATCCAAATGCTCTACAGATACCAGCAACTTCTCCCTGATGCAAGAAGTCCCTGACCCTGCTCTGGTCTCAAGCCAGATACCCAGAATGCCCTCTGCTTCCCCTTCTCACTCCTCCCACCCACAATGGGCCTCTGGGGGTTGGGATACAGAGGGCGGCAGCCCAAGGCTGATCTGGCCCCATCCCCTAAGCTAGGCTGCGTGGCCTATCGGGATGAAGAAAAGGGCTCGGACTTTGTTCAGACACTGGTGGAGGTCATCAGAGCCAACCCTGGACGAGATGTCCTTGAGCTGCTAACTGAGGTGTGAGGCCGGGTGGGAACAGGGACCGAAAGGAAGGCTGGGTTGGTGGCAGTGTTCCCATTACCTCTCACCCCAGGGACAGAAGTCTCTCTGTCTCTCTCTGTCAAACACTCATGGCGCCCTGGTCAAAACATCTAGCAGCGATATGCACGGGGTGAGGATTCTTTCCCACGGGGTGGGGAGCCTTTCCCTCTGGTTGGGAATTTTTTTAGTTGAGAGCAAGGCACCCATATTAAACCTGTGGAGTAGTGTGAGGCTTACAGAACAACAGTGTTGTGGGGCACGCCTGTAGCTAGCTAAAAGGTTGCGGCAGGATCTCCGAGTTTGAGACCAGCCTGGGACACACAGTGATACTGTTTCAGAAAGCATCCTTTCCCCCCAAAGTGACCGCCAGGAAACAAGGAAGGACCGCAGTGGGTGTGCCAGACTGAGCCCCTCGGGGCCTAGCTGACTGTCTCTCCTCAGGTCAACAGGAGGGTTTGTGAGCTGGATGTGCTGGGACCAGACAGTGATGAGCTGCGCAAGGCCTGCTTGGAGATCCTCTCTCTCCCCCTTCCGCGCTCTGCCAGCGATGCAGCGTCTTGGGCGTGGGAGTTCAAATAGTGTGTAATAAATATCTGCTCACAATCGTTGTGCTCCGGGAAATGCATGCACTCTGTGAAATAAGTGAAGTAACGGGTGAAGTACCTGACCCTGGATAGGGGAACAGCTGTGCTCCTGAGGACCAGAGGCTGTCTGTGTCTCGCCTCTGGGGCTATGGAACCTAACAGGATATGCTGGGAGAGGCCCAAGGAGAAAGAAGTCCCGGGAAGGACCAGCTCAGGGGCCCAGCTCTCTCCTGCCGAGTTCCTGGTGCGTGCGTTCTTCAGTCCCCACCTGGCTCTGGGCACCAAGATGCAGGGGAGGCGAGCCAGGTCGGGTCCGGAGACTGGAAGACCTCTGCGGATACACCGGTGATGTGACGGCGCAAGCGCATGGGCTGTTCCTGAGCCTGAGTTGAGGAGGAGAGGCGGAGGAGATCCGAAAGGCGAGCCTCTCCGATTCAGAGGGGCTTCCGTTCACGGACTGCCCAGGAGCGCTCAGACTGATTCAAATTTATTGAAGCTCCCAAGCAGCTTTCACTAAACAGACTAACCCAAGGGGTAGGACCTTTCCAGTTTAAGCATGCGCAGTAGGCTCTTACGAAAGCCTTATGAAAAGAATGAGGAGAGAAGTAAGACGTGGGGCCGCGTGGCCTAATGGATAAGGCGTCTGATTCCGGATCAGAAGATTGGGGGTTCGAGTCCCTTCGTGGTCGCTGCAAGTGTTTAGTTTTTACAAATTCCTACTTGATTTCCCATTCCAGGGTTTTCTCTATTTTCACCCTACGCCTCAGGACGGGTATCCCGGACCACAGGAGAGCGAACTAACTCCCAAGAAAGATGCCAGACTGAATTGTTTGCGGGAGAAGCTGGGAGTTGTCCCAAGGGGAAGCCAAAGACGTTTTGATTAAAAAACTCAACAGGCTAACAGGTTGATAGCACAATGTGGTTAATGCAATGAATGTCATTGAACAGGACATCTGAAAATTATATATATATTCACAGCTCTAAAATCCGTGAAACAATCTAATAGATTAGAATTCTTATAATGCGAGGGTGTCCTTGTCCAGGCACACAGTAGTCCCACTCCGCATTTGAGAGTTAAAGGCCAGTCTTGTCTCAACAAAGAGCTGTCTCCTTAGGGGTCCAGTGTAAATATAAAATTTTAAATGGCAAGAGTATGTCTAGAATTGAATCGACATTTCTCGTGGAGGGGTCGCGGGGGGGGGGTAAGCGGAAAAGTCTTTCATCCCCGCAATTCCTAGGAGAGGGCGAGGGCGGGGAGCCAGCTCTCGTGGCACAGCGTTGTGCGGAGTTTATTTGCTCTTTAATATTGCAGTGGTTTAATAAGGTTTGTAAATGCGTTAGATCAAACACACACACACCACACACACACACCACACACACCATACACACCATACACACCACACACACACCACACACACCATACACACACACCACCCACACACACCACACACCACCCACACACCACCCACACACACTACCCACACACCACACACACACCACACACACACACTACACACACCACACACACACCACACACACACACTACCCACACACCACACACACACCACACACACACACTACACACACCACACACACACCACACACACACACTACCCACACACCACACACACACCACACACACACACTACACACACATACCACACACACACACCACACACACATACCACACACACACACCACACACACACATACACACCACACACACACCACACACACACCACACACACACACATACACACTACCCACACACCACACACACACCACACACACACACATACACATACACACCACACACACATACACATACACACACACACCACACACACACATACCACACACACACACATACACATACACACTACCCACACACCACACACACACCACACACATACATACATACACACCACACACACACCACACACACACATACACATACACACCACACACACACACCACACACACACACACACATACACATACACACCACACACACACACACCACACACACCATACACACCACACACACACACACCACACACCATACACACACCACCCACACACACCACACACCACACACACACCACCCACACACCACACACACACCACACACACACCACACACACGGTAAAGGAGAGCCCAAAGAACATAAGGGTAGTGTAACTAGACTGGAACTCAGCCTCAAATCAAAGATCTGATTCCTACGACTGGGCTGACTGAGCACAATTTTATTTTATTTTATTTTTTTGAGGGGGAGGGTATCAAACAAAAAATAGGCCAGCTGTACACTTTATAAAGAAAAAAAGTGAGGACCTGACCCTACCAAGTAGCATTTGGTGGAAGAGACAGAGGGAGAGGACTGGACAGAAGCTGAGCACAGCCCACATTCTCTTTTTTCTGGACGGGGAACTGCACTGCAAAACCCATTGTCGAGCCGGCTTCTGTATCCTGCATCGCGCACACTTTTCCCCTACCCGCCATCCCGGTTTAAGGGATCATTCAATATTTGAATCTTGGACACCTTACATCCACGTAGACCAATGAGTTAAGATAAAAGCAGTGATGAACATTTTTTAGTTTCTTCTTCACAAGTGCGGCTCCTTTTAGATCTCAATGGTGCTGGGGCCTTGACATAATCAGAGCTGGAGCGAAGGGCTGGGGAGAGGGCAGCGATGTGCGAGGAAATGGTACACGGAGTTGGTAGACACGGAAACAGCGGAGAGAAACAAACTGGTGGAAGACACAGAACGCCTTCTTTCCGTCAGCCCCGGTGGCCTAATGGATAAGGCATTGGCCTCCTAAGCCAGGGATTGTGGGTTCGAGTCCCACCCGGGGTAGGAGAGCTGCGTTTTAATGAAACATAAAGGAGAAACGGAAACATTCTTAAAAATAAGAGCGGTTTTTGACGTACTTCTCAACTTAGACGTAATATTTGTTTTTGACGTACTTCTCAACCTAGACGTAATATTTGTTTTCAAATAAATACATGTTTTCAGTTTACAAAATGTCGTGTGGTTTCGGTTTTTTGAACCACCAATTATTAGTTGATGTGAAAACAGCAATTGTTCAGATTCTAGATGTGCAATTTTATTGTGGTTCATTTTTCCTTTCCCCTTCCTTCCTTCCTTCTTTCCTTCCTTCTTCCTTCCTTCCCTCCTTTAAGTTACTTATGAGAGACAGGGTTGTGAATGTTCTTTGTACTGTACCTGGAAATATGATATATTTGTAAGGTGTCAGGTTAAATACATGAAAATTAAATATAAAGATAAGAAAACACGGCTTTTATAGGCTTGTGAGTCTGTAGACTTGCAGAGTGGAAAGTGTAGCACCGTATGAGAACTCCTCAGAAATCCTCCCTATTTCAGTATATAAACATATGCACATCTCGCAAAACTGCTCGCCCAACGTGGGGCTCGAACCCACGACCCTGAGATTAAGAGTCTCATGCTCTACCGACTGAGCTAGCCGGGCGGCGTTGGTGATGGCCGTCCTACAAGCCTCTTGGAGTTCTTTAGAACTTCCGGGTTCTAGAACAGTTGGAACTGGTTCTGGCCTTCTAGGACAAGCATGTAGCCTCAGTGGTGGGATTTCTCCTCCAACCTCCTCCAACTGCACGGTCAGCCACAGACTAGGGGACAAGGTGGTAGTCTGTGAGGATGTTAATGAGACCCCGTGTAGGGCCTGATTGGTTTCACGATCTAATAACCTCGTGCGAGCTCGTGCTCTCAAACTCGCCGCAGGGACATTGGATCCCGCCCCAAACGCTATGCGGAGGCGAGGTGTGGAGCGTTCGTTCTGCCGCTCGATTCGGAAGAACCGAACCCTGAGTGCAGCTCTGGCTTCTGTATTGGTGTCTCTGAGCCGCGTGGGTCTCAGTGCCGAGTCCAGGCCGGGGTGGGCTCGGCCAAGGGACAGGACCTGCGGGTTCTTTGGAGGATCCTGGCTTTGCCCGCCCGCCTGAGCTCGAGGGGACTGAAAGATCCGGAGGCGGCAATCCTGTCTCACTCTCGAGGTTTCTAGACTCGGATTCTATTTGGGGTGAAATTTCTAAGCCGGGGTCCACCATGAGATCGCGTTACTCACGCGAGCTCTTTGACTTCCTTTCCCGGAGGACGGTAGTCCCTGGCCATTCATGCCGAATGCTTGGCCACAGGCTGGGGTCTGACCTACCTTGAGGGTGTGGGAACTTTCGCTTCCGTCCCCACCGTGCCGCGTCTCCCCGGTTTTCTGGAACTCACAGAGAAACGAACTCCGAACTCTTCCGGGCATGACTAAACGAACGGATTCTATGGACGTTGCGTGTCGGATGAAGGTATCCAAGGACTTGTACCTGGCCTTCCCCTCATGGCGGCTCGTTGGTCTAGGGGTATGATTCTCGCTTTGGGTGCGAGAGGTCCCGGGTTCAAATCCCGGACGAGCCCTTGTTTTTAGTTTTACACCCAGCGGGAAGATTTCGGACAGAGTCGATGGCTGGGATCCCGTCCTCACGTCTATTCTGCCAGATCTCCGGTTCGACGAAGCCATGGGTTCTAGCTGGAGCTGAAGGACAAACGGTGCGTGCTCTGGACTCTGGCAGAAAACAAGGACACCCCTGTCTCCGCAGATGCCTGGGTGTCGGGTGCCAGGTCTCTGCTCAGGGCGCGTTGTTTTCCTTCGTCGCGAAGTTAAATTCCGGCGACGCGCGTGTTCTGAAACACCCTATGCGCATTCCACAACTACCGGGAGCCGATGGCGACAGTAGAGGCTGTGTGCCCTCAGCCTTGGGGCCACCAATATAATGCTAGCTGGGCACGCGAACTCCGATTCCTTTTTGAACACTACAGTTTTACTAGATTTTATTATTTGATTATCGAGGGATGGCAAGACCATTAGAGGAGACGACCGCCACTGAAAAGATGGTTTTTTGGCTCATGGAGGAAGGAGCGTGGCATCGTGAGCGACCATAACTGCCGTGTCAAGGAGGGAGTGGGACACCACACTGATCTAGGGACAGTTAGACAAGACTCAACATGAGCTGGAGTCTTTTCCTGCGGGCAAATCTTATGGTGGATCTTGATAAACTGAGCCTACCTGGTAAGGGGGGGAGGGAGTCCCCACACGTGATCCAACACAGCCTCGGGTTTATGCTAAGCTCACCAGATTGGCATCACAACTGCCGTGCTTCCTGCAGCACTCGCTGGCCTGGTAAGAGTCACCTCTCTGCCCACACTCTGCTTGGCTGCCACAGCTCACAAACGCATCCTAGGTTCCTAGAGAAGCTCAGGGAGTGTGGGGTATCTAGAGTTGAGGTCAAACCCACAGACTACTCACTCTGGGTCTCCAGCTCAGACACAGGAAGGGGTGTTCCTGAGAAGACACTGGACCTGTTCTGGGTTATCATAGGTTGTACAAAATATCACTGTTCACACTGTGTTTAGCCTTGAGTGGCTCCATTTTATAAAGCAACAGTTTGGTCTGCATTTCTCCATTTTGAACATAAATGTTAAGAAAGAATGACTCTATATCTTGTTTATACAAGTAAACAATGACTGCCTGCACACGGAGGCAGACCAGCAATGTATTTCTACAAGTAGATAACGTCTCCAGATATACTAAGTCATATACCGCTCTTGCCAGATGAAACCCTTCATTTTGGACTACAAAGGAGCATCCAAGACTAAAGATTTCATCCAAGAAAATCGCCAGACCAAGGCTCCGATGCAGTTTCCATGCCTGCTACACTGGGCTGCAGTACACGGCTGGTCGACTACAGACTCTCACCACTGCGTCAGTTCTCCATCTCTGACTTCGGGACAGCCTTTCTGAACTCTGAAGCCTACACACACACACCACACACACACCCCACACCACACATATCTCACACACACACACACACACCACACACATATCACACACACCACACACACACACACACCACACCACACACACCACACACCACATATATCACACACACACACCACACACATATCACACACACCACACACACACACACACCACACCACACACACCACACACCACACATATCACACACACCACACACACACACACCACACATATCACACACATACCACATACACACACTCATATTCACATACACACACACCACACACACTCACACTCAGACACAAATCACATACACATACCACACATACTCAGACACACATCACATGCACACACATCACATAAACACACTGCACACTGTGAGAAATATAACGTGTGATCTCAGAGTTAATATTAATTAATAAAATTGGAATACAAAGAACCTGTGAGTTGGGTGGTAGGGGCGCCCGCCTTTAGTCCCAACACTTGGGAGGCAGAGGAAGGCAGATCTCTGTGAGTTCAGGCCAGCCTGGTCTACAGAGTGAGTTCCAGGAGAGGCTCCAAAGCTACAGAGAAACCCTGTCTTGAAAAACAAAAACAAACAAACAAAAAAGAATCTGTGATTGCCAACATCCAGATATCTAGTCAAATCAGGATGACTTGGAAAATTACAGGCAATAAAAGCAATGTAGATTGTGAATTTATTGTTACTCAATAGATTCTGACATTGTGAAAAGACAAACCAAACGTGTCCCTGTTTCTGACATTAACACACTCAGGCCAGCTAGTGGCAGGACTTAGGAGGAGAGAGACAAATGGTACATCTAAATCTAACTCAGTCACTAGGAAGGCAGCCCGAGGACCTGTACCAGCATAGATTACCCAAAAACACAGCTCGATTCTGGGATGTGGGATCAAACCTCCAGGTGGAACTAAGAAATACAAGCCTGTACAGAGGCTTGAATCCACACCCGAAACAGAGTTGTAGCTCTAGACCAAGTGCCACTCCACAGCTTTTTCTGACCAACTCAACGCTCAGTTTTTGAGTCTGAGCATGCATCCATGGCACAGAGACCAGCAGGAGGATCCCACGCGTCGAGGTCTCAGCATTGGAGTGGAGGAACTGGAAGATGCCGAGTTGTGCAACTCTGGGTCCAGCACTCCATTGGGCCCCGTCAAGTCTGTCTTCCAAGATCTTCCTGTGCTCAAACTGTGGTCTGCACCGGAGAGGACTGTGTGGGTCTTTGCCTGCCACCACTTCCTCAGGCCAGAGACCCTGAGAGGGCAGGAGTGTTGGTTTTTGGGTTCTTGAGTCCCAAAGGGCCGTAGCAGGGGGCAGCTGTCACTCTGCTCTGTCTGGTTGTGAATTTGAAGTTCCTGTGGGGTTGTGAGGTTTGGGTCAGACCAGATGACCTGCATTGCCTAGGAAATGTAGAGGCCTTTCTGAACCTCTTTCGGGGGCCTGCTTCACAAGCACCTGTGGTTGGCAGAGGCTCCAACTCCTCCAGTCCAGGGGACCTGGACGCCCCTTCAGGGTTTTGGAGTAGCTGTCTTCCTTAACGAATTCCAGTCCACGAGAGGACATGTTAGGAAAGTTGAAGGCTATGGCAGGGTGTGGCGGGTAACAGCTATCTATGATTGTAGCTAGGAGTGGCAGTGCATGCCTATAACACCAGCATCTGGGAAGCAGAGACAAAAAAAAGCAACAACCCAATTATGTTCATTGTCCTAGGTGTTTTGAATCACATGACTGGGTCCTTTTGCTCTACTCAAAATTTGTGGGTAGGTGAGGACAAGTTCTTCAAGTTTCAGCTTCTGGTAGCTTTTGTATTCCTACATTGGCAGCTGAGACCTGTAACAGCAGTAGAGAGCACCCTCTAGTGTTCCAGCCCTCATGCCAGCCTCCCGCCCTGGGCCTCTCCATCACTGAAATCTCAGCTCTCCCGACTCGGCCCTCCTTGGATTCAACAAGGTGCCTCATATGCAAATAGAGGGTTTTGTTTCCACCAATCACAGCTTTCCTTCTTTAGCACCAACCACAGCCATCACAGCTTGTGTTTTGGACCAATCACAACCATCTCTCAGCTAGACTGTCGGGAATGTAGCTTCTCTGGCCCAGGTGGCCATGATTGCAGGGTCTTGAAGAGTTCACCAAACCTTGAGCTAGCAGGAAGTCTTGTCCAAGCTATTTGGAACAGATTTGGCTGAGGCTACACCTTCACACCCAGGCAAATCAGTTGTGATCAGCAGCTAGTTTTCTCAAAAGCTAGTGAGTATTCTTGATGGATGTGCTGATTGCAGTGACAAGTCATTTGCTCTAGGCAGCCAGAGCCGCAATGGAGAATCTGAGAGCTGCTAACTTGGGAGTCACATTGCCCGTCTTCAGTGTCTTTGCTTACAGTAAGAACTGGAAGAACCATCATGTACACAAATAATGATTTGAGCTAAGTGTAATGGTGTAGGCCTTTAATTCCAGCACTCAGGAGGCAGAGGTAGTCGGATTTCCATGAAGTTGAGGCCAGCCTAGTCTACAAAGGGAGTTTCAGTACAGTAAGTAAGTAACACACACACACACACACACACACACACACACACACACACACACTTGTCTCAAAAAACCAATAAAACAAAACAAAAATCTGTCTCCAAAAACAAACCCACTGTGTAGACCAGCCTGTCCTTGAACTCATATAGATCACCTGCCTTTGCCTCCTGAGTGCTGACATTAAAAGTGTGAGCCACCACTGCCCAGCACTAATAATAATTTTAACAGTGCTCTAAGGTTAAGAGCTCATTTGTCTCATAGGTACTTAAATCCCATAAACCATTACAGCTTTTACAGCAAAACTCCAAAACATCTTACAGTATACTGATTAGCTTCCTATAGCTGCTGTTAGAAATTACTAGAAGGTTGGTGGCTTAAAACAGTAGAAAGGTATTGTTGCCATTCTGAAGCCAACAGCTTTTTCTTAAGGTATTTGCAAGGCCTGCTTCCTCTCAAGGCTCCAAGGAGGACCCTTCCTTGTTTCTCCCAGACTCTTGTAGTTGCCTGCAGTTGTGGAATGTTATTTTTACTACTAAAGATGTGTTACATTTGTTTATGTTGTGGAATATTACTTTAACTATGTAAAGATGTGTTGCATGTGTTTATGTTGTATTTGTTTAACTAGGCAAAGATGTGTTAACGCCGGGCGTTGGTGGCGCACGCCTTTAATCCCAGCACTGGGGAGGCAGAGGCAGGCGGATCTCTGTGAGTTCGAGAGCAGCCTGGACTACCAAGTGAGTTCCAGGACAGCCTCCAAAGCCACAGAGAAACCCTGTCTCGAAAAACCAAAAAAAAAAAAAAAAAAAAAAACCAAAAAAAAAACAAAAAACAAAGATGTGTTGCATTTGTTTCTGCTGCATTTGTTTAATTATGTATAGATGTGTTGCTGTTTCACTTTGCCTGCCTAAGTCACCTGATTGGTCTAATAAAAATCTGAATGATCAATAGCCAGTCAGTAGAGGGACAGGTGGGGTTGGTGGGCAGAGAGAATAAATAAGAGGAGGAATCGCCGGGCGGTGGTGGCGCACGCCTTTAATCCTAGCACTCGGGAGGCAGAGGCAGGCGGATCTCTGTGCGTTCGAGGCCAGGCTGGACCGATAGCCTCCGAAACAATACAGAGAAACCCTGTCTCGTAAAAACCAAAAAAAAAAAAAAAAAAGAGGAGGAATCTAGGCTTTAGACTGGTGAGAAGAAAGGAGGAAGAGATGAGGAGAGAGAGAAAGGGAGACACCTGGGGCCAGCAAGCCGGCAGCCAACCAGACAAAGAAGGACATACAGAATGAAAGAAAGGTAAAAAGTCCCAAGGCAAAATGTAGATGAAGAGAAACAGGCTCGTTTAAGTTATAAGAGCTAATGGGACAAGCGTAAGATAAGGCTGAGCATTCATAATTGATGGTAAGTCTTCACGTCATGATTTGGGAGTTGGTTGGTGGCCCAAAAGAGAGCCTGCTACATGAAGTTTTATTGTTCTTCAATTACAGATACATGCTTCTGTCAGTCTAGCAATGTCTCCCCACTGTTTTTGTCTCTCCATTTCAGTCTTTGGATTAGGGCTTACTCCACTTCACTGTGAACTCACTCAACTTTGCTAATTGTATCTGCAAAGACCCCTGTACTATGTGGTCCAGGTTTACCTGGGATTTTTGTTGTTTGTTTTGAAATCAAGTGTCACTGTAGCCCAGGCTGGCCTCTAACTCATAGACAGCCACCTTCTCCTCTGCCTCTCGAGTTCTGATTAAAGTTACAAGCCACCATACCTGGTCTATACATGCATCTTGGGGGAAAACTGTGTAACCTAGTCCTGATGTTATTTTGTTGTTGATTTTTGTTTTGTTTTCTTTTTGAGACAGCCTCCTGTATTCTGTCTAGGCAACTGAGAATGAGTTTGTACTTTTTATTTTTTTCTCACTGTAGTTTAGGCTGGCCTGGAACTCATTATGTGTCCCGACCCTCAGGACACTCATCGTGGGTCTGGTGGACACCTAGGAAAAAGATGGGGGGCAGGGGATACAAGTACGGACACCAAGACAAGAGTCTGATCAAGGCGACAACTTTATTCATCCCAAAGGGATTTATATAGGGGAAGGGAGGAGGGGAAGGAATGGGGGATGTGCTGTAGCTGCGATGAACCTGGTGGAGCGGAAGGTCAGTGGGATGGGTAGGTCATCCTGTGTCCTCTGGTAACCTAACTGCAGACTCTAACTTTATCTTTCACATTCCACCTTCTATTAAGCCTACGCCCTAGATAAGCCGCAGGTCTGTTTCTGGAATTTGGCAGGTAGCAGGGTGGTCCCGAGTCACGTACTTTCTATGAGGGTCTTTTCTTATGAGTACATGAGGCAGCCGTACCTGGCTGATGGCCGGAGGTCCCTGACAATTATGTAGCCCACACTTTCCTTGAATTGTATTTATCTTTCTGACTCCTGAGTGCTGGGGTTACTAATGTGAAACACCATGTCCAGCACAACTGGGAATTTTAAGTCATGAAGAGTCATCCGTATACAGCTAGCAAACCACAGGACCAGCATCTTCTAACATGGAAGCAAGACCCTTCCTGCCCAAACAAATGAACAGAATAGATGTAGTCAAAGGGGACTCATACTATCAAACTTGGAGTTAGAGAACAATGCACTCAAAACAGCTGTACCCTAAGTCTGGTCTGAAGCAGAGGGACCTATCTGTCTCTGCTTGTGAGTGAAACCCTGGCTTAGCGAATCCCATATTCTAGGGCTGCCCGATCATCTGGTCATTTTGATTGTTTGATGGTAAAATTGAGACAGATAAATGAGCTGTAACTCTCCCTGGGATACTGAGCCTCTGATAAGTGTTGTTAAAGCCTTGTTAAAAATCACAATTAGTGAATGGTGACTTTTATTTTTTTTATTTATTATTTTTGGAACAGGGTCTCACTGTGGCCTGAGACTTGTATGTAGATCAGGCTGGCTTGGAATTTACAGAGATCTGCTTGCCTCTGCCACCAGAATGCGTGGAGTGTAGGCGTGCTCCACCATGTTTTTTTTTTTTTAATTTAAGCACCTCCTTTGATGTTTATTTATCTATAAGTAAGCAAAGACATTGGTGGTTGGGGAAATTTGAGCTAATTGACAGCTCTTAGACTCTCCTTGTTAGCCTGCTGCCTTGAGCAAAAGCACTGTGACAGACTGCCAGCTAAACTGCCCTGCCGAACCAGTGTCTTTACAGCCTTAAGCAAGCTACACAATGCTGACCATAGGCTGATTGTTTCAGTTCCCAAGGGCGCAACTTCAGCCAGAACTATTTCCGCTTGACCAGTCTTTTTTGCAATCACCCTGCGTGAACTCTTTGTGACTGTGCAACAATTCTCACCACGGCCAAAAAGAGAGCAAACACATTTTATAATCTAGCAGATGGACTACAGAGAGTAGTTCTAAAGAGAAAGTGCTGTGATTGGCGCAAACGCAGGCCTTCATTTGCATATGAGGTGTGCTGTGATTGGTGCAAATGCTTTGTGATCAGGTGTTCGGCCCTCTTGAATCATTCTGCTGAGATTCCCTTCTGTACTATCTGCCCTGATGTGGTTTCTCAGCCGTCTTGTCTTTGAATTGCAACTGGGCGAAGGCAGCAGAGCAGCCTAGCTGCTTCCCCATCGTTGGGAGCTGAAGGGCGCTCCTGGGGCTGCTCTTGCCTTTGTTCCGACCTCACACACGCCGCCATCAAACACAGAGGTATATAAAAGCTGCCAAACACAGGCCTTGATTTTCTCCTTGCACTCCCGAAATTACTATTTGAGTAGAGCCGCTCACGAGACCCTCACACCTCCTTTATGGGGTGTAAGCAATTAGTGGTTGCTGTGTCCGGGGTCATGCTCCAGTAAACAACCCTCCCCCATGCTCGCCAATCAGCCTACTAAAGCTTAGTGGGTAATGAAATGAAAAAGCATGCAAGAAAAAAAGAGAGAAGGCATGCAAATAGGAGGAAGACTTTTTGGGAATAAGGTGGGACCCGCAGGAGTGGGCGGAAAATGGAGGGGACCACGAAATAACCAGCATACATTACTTAAACACATGAAATTGTCAAAGAATAAATTTCGAAACTAGCCCCCCCCCCCCATTAGCTAACAGATGGGTAAGGAAAAGTGTGGCTTCCTGCTGGGTTTGATCCAGAGACCTCTCGGCCTAGAGACCACCCATCCTTTAAGAGCCCTTGCAGGGATACACGCCTTGTCCCCCATTTCGTCACTGACCTACACTCCTTGACATGGACTTCACTGGCTCAAAGCAGCTCTCCAGTAAGACGATGCGATCGGTCGTTTGAACGAAGCTTCTACCTTTTGGCTCAGACGCCCTTGTGGGGAGTAAACCTCAAGATTTCAGGCCTCCATGCATCGCACACTGGTCTCTCAGCGGCAGCACCCCGACGTCTCTGTCCCTCCATGCCAGCATGTACTTCCCGGGCCCACGAGTCTGAGCTCCTTGCCAGGAGACCCGTGGCTTTCACTGCTTTCCATTCTGAAAAAATTTCCACCGCAATTTCATCAAAGAGTAAAAAGGGACAATGTGGTTCTCGGAGGGCAGTTCCTCAGACAGTCCAGTTTGTTCAGGTGCTAGTTTTCATCAGGCGGCCCGGCTAGCTCAGTCGGTAGAGCATGAGACTCTTAATCTCAGGGTCGTGGGTTCGAGCCCCACGTTGGGCGTAGTGATTTTGTTCTGGGAATTTGCAAATATAAGGTTTTACTTAGTAACAGTTTAGACGTCTCATTAAGTGTGACAACAAAAACATTGGGAAACTGGACCCCCTCCAGGGCTCGTCCGGGATTTGAACCCGGGACCTCTCGCACCCGAAGCGAGAATCATACCCCTAGACCAACGAGCCACACGGCTGTAACCCTCTACTACTTCCTTATAGACCCGTATTCATTCCCAAGTAAGTAGCGCTTTGCCGCTTCCCGAAACAGTGGGGTGGACATAAAAGTTTATTAGTCTACCACCGAGCCAGCTCCGAAGGAGCAAGAACCTTGGAGAAAAACTGCACTTTGGGGAAGTCTTTGCCCGGTGACTGCTGTGGGGACTGTATTTTGTGGCCAGAGAGCAGGGAGGAACGTCCATTAAATAAGCCTCGCCCCAAATTCTTCCCAAACAGTCGTTCTGAACGCCCAAGACTCAGACACTTGGGTAATGTATAGGATTAGTGCCTCACTCCCCTGGAGTCTGGTTCCACTGGTCGCAGTCATATGATTTTGTCTGCATCTAGAAGGTTCAGTCCCAGGGTACAGTGTCTGTATGGGCAGGACGCTGGGGATCTTAGAAGGCCCCTTAGGAGCAGCTGAATTATCTGACACCTCCGATCAAAGAAAGCAGACACCCAAATGGAACTCAGTGGGTGGTGCCTGGGACCTGGCCCACTTGCGTGGCATTGTGAATTCTTGTCTCACTTTGAATTCCGACACCACTGGGTTGGTGGTTTACTCCTCCAGCCTAAGAAGTAGCCTGTCAGAACTCAGTGAGAGAGACCTACTACGTTTCCCTTTAAGAGGAAAGAAACTTTGAGGATCCGTATTTCTCCAGCATTTGACCTCTTGCACTCTAAGCAGGAATCATATATTGGCCAATGAGCCCGCACACAGCCTTGTTTCTCTGTTCTCAGGGTCGTCCTTGTGCCTGGCTCCCCAGGAGCCCAGGCTTTGAATTGCCCAGCTTTCCACCAGCCTGAACTGCCTTGTGCGAATTTCACAAGACCTCTGCCTGTGTGGTCAGCTTGTATTCCTAGAACCTTAGTTGAGAGTTCAGAGACAGCAATGGTTGCTCAGCCATGGGAGCAGAGTGAAGGCAGTGAAAGTAAACAAACCTAGTTAAGGCTATGGTCCGTCCTTCCGGTAGCCCTTGGGAAATGAGTACATTGTTGCTCTGCGACGGCCTCAGCGTAACCCAGACTGACTTTACAGCCTCAGCCCCGACAGTCCTGGGATTACAAGTGTGCAGTTTGGGTTTTGAAACTCTTCCCAGGCCTCAAAGAACCTCTTCTTGCCTGACCTCGACTTCAGAGTTTGGTTATTTCCCACTTAGGAGCCGTCTAGGACTGTGCACCTGTAGCAGGGTGACTTTGGGGCTAGCCTAGGCAATATGACAAGAACCTGTCTCAAAGACGAAGTTAATAGGGCTGAGACCCATAGCTATCGATTTCTAGAATTCCCTTTCTTTTTCTTGCCATGACAAGAAAATGCCTATATGTTTTCGAAGGTCTCGTGTAGCGCAGGCTAGCCTCACTGGGTAGCCAAAGATAACCTGAAATTCCTAATCCTCCTTTGTTCACATCTCAAGTGCTGGGATTTTAGGCTTTTGTCACCACACCTGGCTAAAAACACATGTATTTTAAGGACTTTAAATCTATGTAGTTAAGTTATAAGTCTTTGGTTTGTCGGTTTTGTATTTTGTTTTGATTGGCATTTTGAAAAATGGATGAATCTGCACTTTGTGTTTTCTGATGTCAGTATCCTACTTTAACGACCTGTAAACCCATCTCTAGTCCACGCTAGTTAGGCATTTAGAGAATGGAAAATTTGTCAGCTTATCATCTCCTTGGTTTATATGTCCTGAGTGACGTTCACTCTGGAAATCCCGCAGTGACTGTGGACATGAAAATCCTCACGGTTCCTATGCATGCTGGAACTGAACAACCGAGCAACTGGCAACGAAAAGAAAAAAAAGGTAAGACAGAAGCTTCGCCTCATTGGAGAGAGAGGAGGGGAGGGCAAGCTCAAGTGTGGTGGCTCGTTGGTCTAGGGGTATGATTCTCGCTTTGGGTGCGAGAGGTCCCGGGTTCAAATCCCGGACGAGCCCAGTACAGAGTTGCTTCTGTAATTTTTAAAACAGAAGAGAAAAGCGGACTTTGGCTGGTAGTAAATACTTAAGAGAGTTAGCTAGTAAGAAAGAGGCTGTGGTGCGAGATACACCTTCAAATACATTTACGCCTTTCTCGGACTCCTCTCTCCACTCTGGGCATGGCATCCGATTTCTCAAAGACAACTCTCTTCGTTGGGTGAGGGAGGGACATTGGCGGCCCCTCTTTTTTTGTTTGTTTGTTTCTTGGACTTGAGATCGTGCTGCACCCCCGTAGAGTTTTCGCCCCTAAGTCGATGTCTTTCTCTGTGTGTCTCTGTCTCTGTCTGTCTGTCTGTCTCTGTCTCGGTCTGTCTCTCTGTCTCTGTCTCTGTCTCTCTGTCTTTGTCTCTGTCTCTGTCTCTCGTCCTTCTATATAACACTGTCTATCCTAGAACTCTATGTGGACGAGGATAGCCTCGAAACTTAAAGGCGCGAGCCACTCACTGCACCTGGCTGGGCACTCCTTTCTTGATTTTGGCCCTGATGGGCAGGTGGGATGCAAAATGGAAGAAGTGTTGAGCAGAGAGGTACCGCAGACACTCAGCTGGCTTTTACTGCGTTCTAGAGCTGCTGCGTAGCCAAGGAGACGCGGTTAAGGACCCTCCAGGCAGCTGCCCCTGACTCTTAGGGGTTCCATCTAGTCCGGAGCATCTAGACAGGCCATGACCAAGGGGACACCGGACTGTGGGACCTACTTTGTAGGTCGTGGAAGGGGCCTGGAAAAGTGGAATATTTTGGTGTACGTGGTTCCGGAATTTGCCCGTCCAGGAATTTCTGAAAAATAAGCTTTCTGAAGCCCTACCTCCCTGTCGAGTTCTGCTAGTCCCGCCCTTATTTCCACAACCGCCATAAAATAGAATTATGGAAGTAGTTCCTGTGGCTCGTTGGTCTAGGGGTATGATTCTCGCTTAGGGTGCGAGAGGTCCCGGGTTCAAATCCCGGACGAGCCCGTTGATCTTTTGCAAACACTCATTCCAAATGTCCATTCCCTACTGTTCCTTCTTCCCTAAACTCTAGCGAGATCCAGACTTATCCGTGACATACTGGCTCTGGGTTTTGACGCTGACTTTTGTTGGAAGCCTCAATCTTTTTCCAGCTGGCCACCCTGTCTTGTTGGAGCTGCGCTTCCTGAAAATGCCTCTAGTCCGAAAGACCATTAAAACCTGTGTCTGCAACTCCAGTCTCTGCCCTTGGCTTGGGTCAGAGTTTTTGGAGAGGCAACTCTTCGGGTAGGCAGAAGCCTGGATGAGAAATTTAAACTTCATATGCAAACCGGGTTTATACCTGTGCCCTCAGGCACACTTACTGTATACTCAGAAGGGCTGGTTTGGGCTGGTTTGGCTAGCTCAGTTGGTAGAGCATAAGGTGTGTGAGTGTGTGTGTGTGTGTGTGTGTGTGTGTGTGTGTGTGTGTGTGTGTGTGTGTGTGTTAATCCTGGCTGTCCTGGAGCTAGCTATATAGACTAGGCTGCCTGCTAAGTAGCGAGCTTGAGACTGTTAATCTTATGATCGTGGGTTTTAGCTCCACATTGGGCGATGTGCTGTTTTAGCTCGGACAATAGAGTTCCGAGGTGCTTGGCTAGTCGCTACTCACCTGTTTTACTGGCCTATAGAAACCTCAGCTCTGAGTATAACAACTTGCTGAGCCATTCCCCAGATCCCTCCCCTCTATGAAATCCTATCATGGATTCATTTAGAGGGGACTCTAGTGGAGTTGACCCTTGGACTAGAAATATGATTCTTATTTAGAGTGAGAGAGTGCCAGAATTCAAATCCTGAATGAACTGACCTTATTTAAAAACAAAAACAAAACAAAAAATCTACCCTGAGGCCCAAGAGACAGTTCCATGGCTAAAAACACCTGCTGCCTCACCTGATCACCTGAGTGAATCCCCAGGACTGTGGCCACCCACAACAAATAAACGTAACAATTAATCAGGCAGGCACAGTGGTGCACACCTTTAATACCAGCAGTAGAGGCTGGCACATCTCTACAAATTCAAAACCAGTATGGTTTATCTAGTGAGTTCTAGGTCAGTGAGAGCTGTATGTCATGTCTTTTTATTTTCTAGAAGATATTCAGAGATGTCATTACACAAGAGACCATTTTCCCCTCTGGTACTAGCGGTTGAGTCTGAAGTGCTCTGCTGCTGGGTCATGCCCCCAGCTATAGGAAGACCACGTTTTAAAGGCTGCGGTACTCTGCAGTTCTCCAGTGTTGCTCAGCAGTTGAGTTGCAGCCCTGCACTTTACAAACCGCTTCTGTGGGGTTAGTTAGAGGCACTGAGAGACGCTTCCTATGTACTTACAAGCCCAGATCTTATTATAGGGCCATTAGAGGGTTAATTCTGGGCTCCCCCAACAGCCCCTGGCTTGGGAAGCGGGGAGTTCCTAGAGCAGAAGCCAGAAGCTTGGCAGGAGTGCAGGCTCTTGGTGATTGTGGGTGGTAGCAGAAGGCCTCTCTTGCTGGTACCCTACCCCAAACCTCTTCCTTCACAATATCCTTTCTTTTTCTATTGCTTTTCCTTTTTTTTTTTTTTTTTTGAGACAGGGTTTCTCTGTACAACTCCTTTCTCTATATAGCCCTGTCCATCCTGGACCAGACTGGCCTTTGCCTTCTGAGTTCTGGAAATAAAAGCATGTCCCACCACTGCCCAGGGGAAAACTCCCTGGGCTGCCCTTTCCCTTCTCTAATTTCTAGTCT